ATTTATTATCCCAAAACAGAATTCATTACAGTAAAACACAAAGACATTACACACGAAACAAATTTAATGTCGAAACACACAAAAATGTATCAAATCACTTCTTAAAAATATTTCCAACTTTCTGACTCGCCAGGTGCATAGACTCCTGTAAAAAAGGGTTAATAATAAAAAATAACATGACTGACTAGATTAAGTTTTGAGTTTATGGTCTACTACTGCAAATTAGTTAATTTTCTCAAGTACTTCATTTTATCCTCTTCATTGTAATACCCCTGTACAGCTGCAATTATCTTATCATTTAATTCCCTATACTTCTTCTTTTTTGGTTGTGGGCGACCATCTTCAGTGATAAAATGTTATGGTGATGAAATACAATAATGATGAGTTGCTATAATGATGAAATGTGCAATGATGAATTGCTATAATGATGAAATGTTACAATGATGAAATGTTACAATGATAAAATGTCTCGTATGATGAGGTGTTTGGTCACCTAAAAAAAGGTATGAATACTTTATAAAATATAATTATGACCGATTCATAGGAAATATGTGTTTTATATAGATAAGATTGAAATAAAAATATAAAATTCATAATTAATATTTATTCAATTAATTGGCAATTATTAATTACAAATTTAAAATTCTTTTTAATATTATTTGTCTTTTTATAATTAATTTTTATTATTTTTCAAAATTATATTATATAAGTTAATAAATTTTTTTTTAATTTTAATACTCAAATTTTTTTATTGCTTCCATTTTATAATATTGATATACATTTTTTACCACTTTGTAGTGGTATAAATTTCAGAAGTAGTTCGACTCTCCGCTTACATCACACTAATGCAATCACTCACCAATATTTGTATACAAAAATTTCCCTTAGCCAAAAGAGTTAAGCAGCATACCTTCTTATTTTCATTTTTATACACATAAGAATTTTTGAGAGAGGGAAAGAGGTTTTTTTATAATGTATTTTTAAAAGCGGGAGTTATTTATTTTTTCGTATATAAATTATAGGAAAAAATATTAAGAATTTTAAAAGCGAAGTTTTATTTCTGTAACTTATTCCAGTACAAGGTGGTAGAAATGGTGTATCCATACTATAAAAGCGAAGCGATTTAAAAACAAAATTTACATACGAGTATTATATGTATATAATTTGAAAAAGACAAATAATATTAACAAAAAATTTAAAATATGTAATTAGTAATTGTCATTACATTTATTGTAATATGAACTATGAATTTTTTATTTTTATTTAAATTTTGTTTTAAAAATTTAAAACAAATATTTTTTGAATATACATACATACACGCGTATCAGTAAAAGGCATTTTTTTTATAAATTGCTTAATTTCTATGCCCGTCTACCTTGCGGCTTGACGTGAAATCAGCTCGAAACTCAAACTGCGTTTTTACTATGTTAGCTTAAAAGCCCAAAAACGACGTTAACTATTAAATTTCAAATCAATATTAACATTTCAAGTCAATTATATCATCAACAATAAGCGATTTGAGTGAAGTAACGTTTATATACACAATAATAAGCTTGAAACAGCCATATACACATGGTACATATACATATATTACATACATATTACGAGTACATACACATACTACATCATATTGTGTTTAAAGTATGAAATTTTAAATTTATGACTATTACTTTCATACATTCAAATGTTTTTACCTAACTTTTATGAAATGACAAATAAGATATGAAAAAAAAATTTTGGTTATCAGAATAAAAATAACAATATTTTTACCCAACTTAATTTAATTTTATTTCAGCTCAATATTTGTGATACACTCGTTTGTTTACAATATTTTGTTTCTTTCTTGCCTACACAACTCTTATAACCATCTATTTCTAAAAAAAAATGGAATATTTGAAATTTTTATAAAACGAAAACTAAGGGAATGGAACGAGGCGAACTACTTATTAATAGATATACTTTGATATTCACCTTGTAGGCCTTTAAAATGCTTAATATTTTACTCTATACTTTATATACGAAAAAAAAACGTTCTTGTACGCCTTTGAAAATACATTGTAAAAAAAATAGACATCTATTGCGCACTCTTTCTCTCTCCGAAAAATTCGTAATGAGTATAAAAATGAAAATAAGAAGGTATGTTTTACACTTTTAGCTAAGGGAATTTTTTGTATACAAATATTGGCGAGTGTGATGTAAACGCAGAGTCGAACTACTTGTTAGATAGATCTACCTTGATTCAAAGACTTGGAGTGAGTCGAACTATTTCTTAGATATATTTTTTATTTGATAGATATAGTTTGGTTTATTATCATTTAACACTCTTTCATACATATTTTTTAATTCCATTTGACAAGGAAAAGAAATGAAAAAATAAACTTTTGACAAACACAGACGGTTGACATAATTTTTAACTGTTTTTTATTTCTTTCTTACAACCTTTTCTAACTTTCCAGACCACTTCCATTGGACATATACAGTCAAGAGCTACATTAAAAAAGAATATTATAATCTACAAAACGACAAATATTCCACATAGTCAATCAATCAATATAATTTTTGAAGCACCAATCCACACATATTTTGATATTTCGTTTTGCAAAAAAAAAATATAACAATTTCAATTCAAGTGAAATAAATAGTTGTTTTTTACCGTTTCTATTTGTTTTATTATCCTAATGTAGGTTAGGCATATATGTACTTATGTATGTACAAAATTTGTATTTGCGCATGTGCTTTTGGTTAAAAAAAATTAAAAATTAATTTTTTCTGTTCCTTTTTCATTTCCATACCATGTAATACCACTCAAAAAAAGAATAGAAAAAATAAATTTAAATTTTATTTGTATTTTTTTTTCTGTTTCTTATTTTTGACAAACACAACAAATTTTATTTTTTATTTAATATAAATATTCAAGAAACTTCATTTTTTAACACTAAAAATTGCTTATTAGTATAACTCTGTCCTTTCGTCTGTTTGTCTGTCTGACCGTGTACATGTTTACAAAACCTCTACACCTTTGAAGACAGAAAGCTTAAATTGTATATGTACTCGTACATACATAGATTTTCTACCGTGTCATACTATGTTTGAATTTTAAAAAAACGAAATGGTCTTTAAATTTTACCATTTTTTAAACTCGGTTTTTTCCAAATTTTTGATGTCGTTTTTCTTCCGAACTCCAGGAAGTTAGAAGAAAATTTTTTCCGGCCTTCACCCCTCCTCAAGATATCGCCTCTCGAAATTTTTAAAATTTGGACTTTTTGCGCCTTATATCAAATTTCTATGAATTCTTTCTTAATCAAATTTCTACAAATATAGAAAGCTAACGGTAAATTCCGTGCCATTAAAAAATACAATTATTTTTCTAAGTCACTCAAGTAACCCTTAAAATCAAGCGTTATGTTAACCACTCTTTAAATTTATTTTTGTTTTATTTCAAAGCCATTGACAGGAAATTGAAATAGTTTCGTGTATGAATGAAAGTAATTTCAATATATTAGGTATACATTTATAAAAGCAGTTTTTTTACATGTTGAAGGCAAAAATGCTACATTACAAACCATTGGTTTGATCCAACTTCATTAGTTATACATATTAATTTTTTTTTAATTTTTAAACCAAAGTACGTGCTCCATTCTTGTATTTTAAAGATCCTTTGAGAAAAAAGAATGCTTCAAAAGTAGAACTGAAGCACTTCCTTTGAAGTTATTAAGGGCTTTTTTTCCTATGGAACTCTCATGTATTTTTTACTTTACATGTATTGCGTAGCAAGCATTTACATCGTCAGCGATTACAAGCCCCGTCAGCGGGAAAATTTTTGTTTTTTTTATATATTTGAAAATAAAAGTTTATATAAAAAAATATTAAATTAAATTTTCAGTGACGTATGATATTTTTCTTTGTAATTTGTATGGACGTAAGTATTTTAAAATTTGAAATTTTATTTTAATTTTTTTTCCGCATTTATTGCTTTCTCTGAAAATTTCAGTCGCTCGCGAGGATCGAACACGGTCCTGAGTTTTACCGCTAGGCTAATTTCATATTCTTAAATGCTTTGGAACATTTGTAGGGGGAAAGTGATTGATAGTTCTTTACAGGGGAAATTAATCAAAGGCAATGAAAAAGTCTTTACACTTAATGTGGTGTCTAGTTTTGGTGACAAGTTTTATAAATCATTTAACATTTTTACATTTTCGTATATTAATTTCACTGCAACCTTTTTAAATATAGTTAGCATCAGAGTTGCATTCATACTGCGGTAACTTGATATTGTGCTGTAGATATACGATAATCTTATGTGATATGTCCGCCGCGTAGCATGCTTATTCAACTTGAAATTATAAAAAAAAGCATTTAATATATTTAAAAAAAGATTTACGTACAGGCTGAATCTATAATCTCGAATAGAAAGGTATAATCTCGTGGGCAGAAAGGTGGCTTCTTTTTATGCCTTTAATAAAGCACTGTTTTTTTCCAAGAAAAATTTGAAAAAATGTGCTTATTAGTTTCATTCTGTGTGTCCGTTCGCCCGTGGACCCGTTTGTAAAACTTTTACACCCTTAAAGATAGAAAGCTGAAATTTTATATATGTATACATGGATCTTTACTAGAAACTTATTTCCGTACAAGAAAATTTTTAATTCTTTTCCACCTTTCAAAGTTATAATCACCCGAAACCCTAAAAATGTAACTTTTTGTCTATTCCCTATGGCGAAACCCTAAGTATCTTTGAAATTTTCAATAATATGCCTCTGTAAATATTTTTTTTTGCATTTTTTCAAAGATTACATACATTGCTTATCCTAAATTTATCCAATCTTTGAAATGTGTATATTCATATGTGAATGAAAGTAAATTTGATAATGTGTTACAGAAAGTTTTTTTAAAATCAGTATTTTCTCTTGTTGAAGGGAAAATTTCCAGTTTACAAACCATTGGTTTGACCAAACTTTGTTGAACTTAGTAATTGTTATAATTTTTTTATTTTATAATTTCAGAGCGGCTATTCAAGCAATTGCAGCATATTTGGATGCGTTCCAGAAAATAGCAGACGCCGCAACGAATTCTAGAGGTAAGTTTGGTTATTTGTATTTTTTAGATTTGCTTCTTTTTTTAGTTGTTTCTGGCAAAAATATCAATTTAAAATCTTTCTCTAAATTACATTTTGTTTTTATCATTTGCACTTTTGTCTTAATATAGAGGGGCAATCGTTTAAATTTTTTTAAGAACATTTTAAAAAACACATATAAAATCAAAATTCCACACAAATACAATTTTTCATTTTAATTTTTGTGTGGAATGTGTACGGAAACGAAGTATAGAGGAGCACCCAAGTTTGGAGTCATATGTTTTTTCTGTGAATTCTGAATTTTTCACTGCTTAAGATGGCCTCTGTGTGATGAAATCAACCATCTCCATTTGCAAGAAAAACAAAAGGAGAACGAAATAGAAAGCGAAAAGTCTGTCTTCTATGAAACTATTTTAATTTAATTTTCCCTTTTAAATGCATTAAATCAATAAATTTTTGGAGCTTGTTCTGTGCAAGTAACTAAATCAGAAGTTATTTTTATTTGTAACTTTATCTAAGAATATAATGAACAAAGTTTTTTGAACTTTTGTAATAAGTTCGTTAGTTTGCTAATATAAAAGGATTCTTTTGAATATGCCAATTCCATTGTTCGGGAGAATTTGTATAGAAAATAGAGAAATCCAAGCAAGGAAACGACATGTTAATGGGAGCTCTATTTAATTGTCTCATAAACGGCTAATGCAGTATAATATTTTTTATAAAACACAAACTAAGTTGTGTATATACCAACTGAACATATATACGTATTAAGGTTTTTGCCAAAATTTTTTATTCTTTTCTTTTTAGCACTTTTTGAAAAAATTTTTGAAAAAAAGTGCTCAGTAGTTTCAATCTGTCCGTCCGTCCGTCCGTCTGTCTGTCCGTGTGTCTGTTTACAAAAATTCTACACCCTTGAAGATAGAAAGCTGAAATTTTGTATGTATATAGATCTTTACTAGAAACTTATTTCTGTAGAACAAATTTTTATCTATCTCCCCCCCTCTAGAAGTTATACCTCTCCAAAACCCTAAAAATGGCCTTTTTTAACTATTTGTTGCAATGAAACCATAAGCATTTTTGAAATTTTGCAAACGCATAAAGGCAGCGGCTTGCTTCCATGACATTAAAAAATATAATTATTTTTCTTACCTCACACAATTAACCCTTAAGATCGAGCATTATGTTAACCTCTCTTTATATTAATTTTTTCTTTATTTCAAAGACTTCATGTATGTATCATCCTAAATATATGCAATCCTAGAAATAGCTTTGTATATGAATTAAAATAATTTTAATGGTGTGATAGGTATACATAGACTGTATTTAAAAGCAGAATTTTCACTTGTTGAAGGGAAAAGTGCTACAATACAAACCGTTGGTTTGACCCAACTTTATTAAGATATCGTACATTTTTTAAAAATAAAATTCTATGAAATTGTAGTTTTGTGTATGTATTTTCATTCATAAAAATTGTACTTTTTGGCAGCAAAACCCAAATGAATTTTTAAATGGATACAAATTATTGAATTTCTGCTTATAGGGCTTCATCGATTTTGCATGATTTTATATAATTATATAAGAAAAAAAAGTCAAATTCAGTTGCATTACAAAATATTTTATTAAAAGTATCCCTAATCTCTAATTTAATAAACATCAACCCTAAAAAAGCAAGTAATTCTGTTGCAAATTTTCTTAATTTTAGAAACTTTGGTAATTTGTTACATTCTCGTAAAGAAAAGTTAATTGTGGAACGAAAAAGAATCTTTTTTCATTTTGTCTTTGCACTTTGTAGTTGTTCCCAAAATATAGGCTGGAAAAGAGCAAATAAACAATGTTTTTGTTTTCTTTAAATATTAATGTCCTTAGCAATCTCATTTACAATCTTTGTGTTGTAAATAAAAATTTTCCCTTGTTGCATTATCAAATGATTGCTTTATTTGTGCCAAAAAAGTAAAAAAAATATATAAAAAAACTTGCGATTCCTTGTAAAATATTGGTTTTTTTTAGAAAATGCACGGAAGGAGATCTCTGAAATTAATAAGTGGTTGCCCACTTGATTCTTAGTATTTCGAATGATTCCTTTAGAATTTGGACAAACTTGGTAGTCATCAACATCGATTATCGTCCAATTACCATTTATAATATATTTAAGTTGTTTATCGGTTAACTTGTTTAACTGTAATTATACTGAACTGATCTGAAAATAATTTTAATACATTTCAAGTTTGACTAATTAAGTATCTATGCTCTATGAGACTAATGTATCTCATTATTAATTTTGCGTATCCTTAGCTTTTTTTAGTACTTAAGTTAATTAATATTTGCAAACTAATGTATATAACTATAGTATAACTGAATGTTCCAAATATATGTAGTATATATGCTGCTAAACCCTTTGAATTGAAGTGGTTAAATGATTCCTGATACAAACCCTGTACAAAATGTGTTGCCATTTTTATTTTAGAAATAAAGATAACAAATGTAAAGCTACTTGGGTTTTGAATCATTGGTGTTTAATATTTTTTAGAGTTCTTAAAGTGTTCTCTGAAAACAAATGTATTTTTTATAGAGTTCACGTCAAGACAAGGAGACTGCTCGATACTTTTTAAATAAAACATGTCCTACCGTTTTTCGCTATAACATTTTTATTTCTATTTATAATTTTTCTTGTAATTTGTCACAGATCTTTGAAATTTCACAAATCGAGAGGGTCATTAAAAGCATGAATCGATTTACTTTTCTGTTTACTTTACCACTAAGCTATTCCAGATAAAAATCATCATTAGCCTTAAGAAAGTACAATATTAAAATTCTTTAAAATATAGTTTTAAGATTTATGTATGTACTTACTTTTTTGATGAAGCATCTACTCCTACCATTGTAGAATTTTTACTTAATTAATACAAAAAATCTATAAAGCTATTTTCAATGAAAAATAATATATAGCTCGTAATATGTATTATAATCCCTTATGTATATGTAGATGAAAAGGCTTGTTATAATAATGGGAAAAAAACATAAATGTTAATATGAAATTCTTTTTTTTATATTAAAACCAATTTTAGCGGTTTTATTTACTAAAAGTTGTTGAAATACTCATTCTACTATATAAAAGATTATCTTATATATTTTTAGAACAGAATAAAGAATAAAGTTGGGTCAAACCAATGGTTTGTATTGTATCACTTTTCCCTTCAACAAGTGAAAATTCTGCTTTTAAATACAGTCTATGTATACCTATCATGCCATTAAAATTATTTTCATTCATATACAAAGCTATTTCTAGGATTGCATATATTTAGGATGATGCATACATGAAGTCTTTGAAATAAAGCAAAAATTAATATAAAGTGGGTTTAACATATTGCTCGATTTTAAGGTTTAATTGTGCGAGTTAAGAAAAATAATTATATTTTTTAATGTCATGGAATTTACCGTTAGCCTTTTGCGTTTATAGAAATTTAAAAAAGCTTCCGGTTTCGGAAATATAAGGTGTCAAAAATTCAAATTTTACAAATTTCAAGAGGCAATAACTTGATAGGGGGTGGAGATGGAAAAAAATTTTCTTCCAAGGAAATGAACTATTTGTTAATCTCTAAAAGCCCCTAAAATTTCAAGCTTCTACAGGTTGGGGTCTAAAGGAAAACGACATCAAAAATTTGGAAAAAAAGGACTTTAGATAACGGTAAATTTGAACGGCCATTTTGTTTTTCTAAAGTTTAACTATAGTATACCGCGCTAGGGGAAGCAAGCCGCTGCCTTTATGCGTTTGCAAAATTTCAAAAATGCTTATGGTTTCATTGCAACAAATAGTTAAAAAAGGCCATTTTTAGGGTTTTGGAGAGGTATAACTTCTAGAGGGGGGGAGGTAGGTAAAAATTTTGTTCTACAGAAATAAGTTTCTAGTAAAGATCTATATACATAGAAAATTTCAGCTTTCTATCTTCAAGGGGTAGAAGTTTTGTAAACAAAAAAAGTGTCCACAGACGGACGGACGGACGGACAGACAGAGTGAAACTAATAAGCACTTTTTTTCAAAAAATTTTTGGAAAAGTGCTAAAAAATTAATTTGTGCTTTCGTATAGATCACATCTAAATGTGTGAATGTAGTAAAGAATACATTAATCCGTCTTATATACAAAATGTTCCACATTAAAGAGGAACTTATGAAGTTTTTATGAAAAGATTTAAAAAAGTTTTTCATTTATTTTTTTGTGGTGTATAAATTAACTTTTTAATTATAAGATTGTTTTATTTAAAAATTTCTATATTTTGTATTTTCACAAATTTTATCTATTACTTGGTTCGTATTTGGTAGTTGTGTGAAAATTCATTCAAAACCGTCCTCTTCCTGAATTTATGTTATTCAGTTGTAAATAGAAATCGAGTCACAAATTAAAATACATAAATTTAAGTCAAATTAATTTATTTACAAATTTAGAATAGGATGTTGTATTCAACGTATGGGCATTTTTGTATTGATTCTACTGAAAATTACTACTTCTCAAATATAAAATGTTTGCTGATTCTGCTTATCGTGCCCGGAATAAATAGTCAAGATTAAGATCTTTTTAAGTTATTATAAATCAGTGACTTTTAAGCTATTAAAACAGCTTTCATCAAATTAATCTGAAACTATGTAAAAAATCTAAAAAAGTTAATTTAAAGCTTAGTTGCTTTATAACTCCATAAATATGGAAAGGAAAAAAGTTCAACGAAGTTGAGTTTTTTAAAATGAAATCAGTTTCCGATTTTATTTCTGAAAAAAAGTTTACAACAAATTGAGAAAGGAAACACTTTTATTTTAGTTTAAAATATATTCGTTACAATTATTTGTGAAACAGAGAGTTTGCGAATACTCGTACAACGTTCGATAAAGTTGCAAGCGTGTCAAACAAATTTATAAGATAAATTATTTAACATGCGCAGCTAAAGTACCATTTAATTAAATTTTACTCTAAAGCACTTTGATTAGAAAAAAAAATATTTATTTGGGTTCAACTTGAAGTTGAAGGACAACACCGTGGGCATAAGATAGACCATATTTATATTGGTTCATTGATTTGCAGTTGTTTTTTTCTACAACATATGACCAACATAACTCTTTGAGTTTCTTTGAAAGTATTCACTTGTTTAACGATGTACACTACGAGTACTTATATACGCATACAGAACATGAGAGTTTATATGTAAAACGTATTTATAAACTTACTTAAAGATAACTTTGCCGAATATTTTTTAATTTAACTATTTAGAAAATATTTAATTTAACTATTTAAGAGATTTAATTTTTAATTTAACTGTTTAAATGTTTAAACTATTTATATTGTTATTTTTCAAATTATTGTACTCAAAAAAATGTAAATAAGTAATGAACATTCCTCTTGAATTTTCAAGTACTTACATAAATTCAAACATGACTCAAAAACGAATAATCTTCATTTTATAAATCATTCACCCATTCTATATTAACGTTTAAGAGTATGTTCTTATTATTAAGCTTTCATATAATGGAGAATTATTTATTGTTATATCGTATATGTACATATGTATGTGTATTAGATGGTATTTATTTTAAGTACTTCACAAAAATATTTGAAAAAAGGCCGTTATTAGTTTCACTCTCTCCGTCCGTAGGTGAACATGTTTACAAAACTTTCACACCCTTGAAGATAGAAAGCTGAAATTTCATATGTATGTACATAAATCTTTACTTTTATTTCCGTAGACGAAAATTCTTACCTATCTTCCTCTAAAAGCTATAGGGCCGCAAAACCCTTAAAATGCCATTTTTTTAAATATTTTTTGATACTTAACTATCAAATTTGCAAAAACAAAAAAGTAGTGACTGGCTACTTCTATCGTAACATACCATTTTTGAACTTTAAAAAAAAAAACAAAATTACTGTTAAAATTTACCGTTATCTAAAATCGGTTTTTTTTTTTCGATCTTTCGAAATCGTTTTTTTAATTCCCAGACCTCAGGTTGTAGGAGTAGTTCATTTCGTTAGAAGAAAATTTTTTTCCACCTCCAACCCCTCTCAAGTTAGCTAATCTCTTGAAATTTATAAAATTTCAATTTTTGGCATCTTATATTTGTGAACCGCAAGTTATAAACCGCAAGTTTTTTCAAATTTCCACAAACACTGAAAGCTAACGTTAAATTCCATGCCATTAAAATATATAATTACTTTTCTTAACTCACGTAGTTAACCCTTAAAATCCAGCATTATATTAACCCCCCATTATAAGCATTATAATTAATTAAATTAATTAATTATATTTATTATGAATGGAAATAATTTTAATAGTGTTGTAGGTATATATACATAGACCGTATTTAAAAGCAGTATTATCAAAAATTTGGAAAAAAACGGATTTTAGATAACGGTAAATTTTAACGGCTATTTTGTTTTTTTAAAGTTCAAGTATAGTATGTCGTGGTAGAAGAAGCAACCCACCGTTTTTGCGTTTTCTGCGTTTTCGAAATTTGAAAACTGCATATGGTTTTACAACAATAAATAGTTGAAAAATGGTATTTTTAAGGCTTTGGGTGGTATAACTTTTAGAGGGGGGAAAATAAGTAAAAATTTCGTTCAACGAAAATTAGTTTCGAGTAAAGATTAACATACATATAAAATTTGAGCTTTCTATCTTCAAGGGTGTAGAAGTTTTGTAAACAGACACACGGACAGACGGACGAACGGAAGAACAGAGTGAAACTAATAAGCACTTTTTTTCAAAAAATTTTTGGAAAAGTGCTGAAAAGTGGTCGATAGTGCAATTTCCATATGCATCTACGAGTATATAAAAATATTTCAACATTTGCAATTTTAAAAGTTTTTCTTAACTTTAATTTTTAATATTAAATACTCGATCTTCCATATTCAATTTGTCTTGTCTTTTCATTAAATTCAAAATGAAACAATTTGTTCACTGCTGTCAAAAAAATAGTATTCAAAAAATAATGGGCATTTACATTTTACGCATCCAAAATCAAAACTAATAAGGGTAAGCCCAAGTAATTGATTCATGATTTTTTGTGAGATTCGGGACACTTCCTATTCCTTCAAATAAGTTAGTAAATTTTTTTAAACCAACATAAAACAGTCGTCACTTTGTATATATTAAAATATATATAAAAAAATTAAAGAAAAAATCAATAGATTTGGTAGTTATATGATAATGGATCTCCAAAGAAATTCATTTTATACTAAGGATTTTATCATTTTCAGTTGAAAATAATTATCTTTAAGAAAAAAAGTAGTGGGAATATAATTAAATGGGGGATAAAGAAGGAGAAGCAGCAGTCTCCTTGATTTTTCTACAATTATTCCATTAGGTAAAGAAAAATGTAATCCACTTTTTAGCACTTTTCCAAAAATTTTTTGAAAAAAAAGGGCTTATTAGTTTCACTCTGTCCGTCCATTATATTAATTTTTGCTTTATTTCAAAGACTGCATATATGCATCATCCTAAATATATGCAATCCTAGAAATAGTTTTGTATATGAATGAAAATAACTTTAATAGTGTGATAGGTATACATAGACTGTATTTAAAAGCAGAATTTTCACTTGTTGAAGGGAAAAGTGCTACAATACAAACCATTGGTTTGACCCAACTTTATTTACTTGGATTTCATAACATCAAGGTTTTTTTTTCATATTGTGCAAGGTTTATTTTAAGTAATTTTTCTGTTTTTGAATTTATTTCCTCTGTGCACTTCCATAAATTCCGACCTAGTTTTGTTTTGTTTCACTTATTTTGTTTTTTTTTTCTACCATTATTTTTATGTATATAATATAAATAAGCTGCTTTAAAATATTTCTGAAACATTTAAAATTATACAACTTTGAAGCGTAGAAATAATTTTTTTTATCAGTTTTTTCAAGTACATAATGTATAGACTATATACTGAAGTAATCATTATGATCTGGTATTCAAATAAAAACAACTGCGAAACTGAATCATATAGGCTTTTATTATGATTGTGTTCCGGTGTTGATGCTGTAAAAATGGAAAGAAAAATCAAACTTTATATTTTATTTTCAAGGCTAGAATATTTGCACTTTTGAAAGAACGTGGAGAAAAGTTTTTTATTCAACTGCTTGGGAAGAATAAAACAAATATATTTGTTTCAATAACATGCGCAATTTTAGGAGAATTTAAATTTTTACTTCACTTAAAAGCTGAAATCTGCTGTAATAATTAATTCTTGTCAACAACCTATTTCTCTGAGAGAATGTAATCTCTTATGTATCTCTGTATCTCTTATAAAAGTATGGCCTCCTCAAAACTCTACTGTTTGAAAACTTATTTGAAGACGTATTGTAACATAAAATTATAACGATTCGCTTCTACTGCAGCGATAATATCATGTCAATAACAAAAATTTCAAATTTTCAAAATAGTATTTTTTGTTACACTGCTAAATTTCTTACAAATCTAAAATTTTAACAATTTAGATATCAATGAACTATTAAGGAAAACATGTTATTTTATAAAACGTTGGTTTGAATCGAATTTATTTCATTCTTATTTTGATCTGCTAAAATTTTTTTTTATTGAAATACTTAAAATGATTGAAAAGCGAATAATCGAAATCAATTAAAAGTAGTAAAATAAAAAATTAGAATCTCTAAAGAAACTCGTTAATTCAATTTCAAAATTTATAGATTCGTGTTTATTATAAAAAAGTTCTCAGCCATTCTCTTTTCTGGAACTACTGAATTTACAACTTTTCAACTGTATTGATATATAACGAAAACCTAAATAAGTCGCAGATGCGTTTTTCGAATTTAAATTTATAAGCAATTATTATTTACATTTGCCTTTTATTGTATTAAAACAATTGCCTTTATTTTATACAAACAACTGAGTCATATTTCGTTTTTATTTATAATCAACGGTTATATTCACATATAAATTGATTTTTCCTTCTTAGTAGACGATGATTAATTCACTGTTCATTTAATTTTTTTCAAAGGAAAAAAATATAATATGTATTATTATTTAAAAAAAATAATATAATAAAATATAATAAAATTTATAATTTGAAAATAATTCATAAAATTTTGCTTTAAGGGGCATCAAAAGATATTGGCACAGCTTTAACACGCGTCTGTCTGCGGCATAAAGCTGTTGAAACACGTATGAAGACGTTTACAACTGCAATCATGGATTGTCTTGTAGTACCGTTACAGGAAAAATTAGAAGACTGGAAACGTCATGTTGCCACATTAGATAAGGATCATGCCAAAGAATATAAACGTTGTCGTACCGAATTAAAAAAACGTTCAAGTGATACATTGAGGCTACAAAAGAAAGCACGTAAAGGGCAATCAGATACAATGCAATCCCTGGTGGATTCACATATGCAAGATGTAACATTACGACGTGCTGAATTAGAAGATGTTGAACGAAAATCTTTGCGATCAGCAATGGTTGAAGAGCGTCGGCGTTATTGTACATTTGTTAATATGTTACAACCAGTTGTGAAAGAAGAATGTGAAGTTATGTCTGAATTAGGTCATTTACAAGAAGCAATGCAATCTATAGCAATTGTTACTAAAGAACCCGATATATTACCACAGTCATCTGAAGAATTAATATTAGAATCAAAATCATCATTTCAATTTTATCCAGAATCACCCGGTGGAAATTCTGGTTCACAAGGCTGTTCAAATTCATTAGGCTCTAGGAAAAGTTCTGTATGTTCGATAAGTTCAATGAATAGTTCTGGTTCAGGATCCGGTTCACCAGGACATCATTATCAAAGATCGCTGTCTCAGGTTTGCATTTATTAATATTTTCCTATATCTAGCTGTTTTTAAGCTCATTTTTGAATTTTTTGTAAATGTTTTATTTTCCTGGCTGAATTTTTTACTGGATTTATGTACACCTCTTAACAAAGCTTATATTTAAAACTGTTTATTTGTATTTGTTTTTTATTCTTTTTTTCGTTTTACTTCTCTTTTTTATTTTTGATGTAATTTTCATTTTTTTTAATTTAGTTAGTCCCACCGACTATGCGATTAAAGCCTGGCGAATCCAGTGATAGTGGATTCTGTTCATCACCGGCTCTCACTGCGCAGGTTATTTTAATTATATTTCATTTTTATCCTTTTCTATTTATATTTGGTGTCTTTTATTAAATTTGCGTCTTTGTTAAATATGCTTTTTGAATTTTATAGCGTTAATTCAGTTTTCTGATTAAAATATATATTGAAAAGTTTATTTAATTTAATTTCGTTCGGTTTTAGGCTTCAGCTCAAACTAGCCAATCTCACGCAGTGTCAACTTGGCCGCCACATTCGCAAGATGGTGTTCAAACAGCTGATAGACCTCACACAATTTCATCAGGTAATCTTTCACTTGAAAAAACAAAGCAGCAACATTAATATTTTATCAAATTCTTTTCAAGCATATGAAAAAGGACATCAACGTCCGGCTCTTACAGTTTATACCTTCCAAAGCCCAGAAACAATTATCGAATCTCAAAAATCGCCTGCGACTATTATCAATAGGCCACCATTACCAATTGTAAATTATGATTTGAAATTGTTTTAAATGAAGCAAATATTTGATTTTATTATTCTTTTCATTTTCAAATAGCGCTGTTCATCATTAGAACGCCCTCTCTCAACTACTGGACCGAGGAATAGTAATCCGAATCTGGTTCAAAGACAATGTCCTTCACCACTTCCTCCCCACATTACTAAAGGTATAAATTAAGCTTTATTTATATGCAATTACTTATATCGGTTAAGCTAATTCTGTACAATTATGTACAGGGGTTTTTTTGGTACGGTGGTACAAAAAAACTGTTTTTCTAAATTAAATGTTTTGGGGATTTAATTTTCAAAATCTTCTTTTATTAAATTTTTAACAATATAACATAGATTTTAAAAGAGTTTCCACCCTTCCTAGTCTAACTTTAAAACTAATTTTTAATTATATAACATTAGAATTACCCCAACATCAACCAACTTATGTTAACATGTCTGAATTAGCTTCAATGGCTGCAATGAAACAAATAAATCAACAGCCACAAACGCAGCAAGTACAACAATCGCTTGAAATGCAAAAGAGCCCACCTCTTGCTCCTACAACAGGTGTAAATAATATACCAGGTAGCGATCAAACTATTCAACGTGCAAAAGGAGCTCAACCACCGCCAAAACCAGTTCGCAATATAAACACGGAAAATTCATCAAAATCATCATCATTAAAACAACCTTTAACAATCCAAATGCAATTACCAAGTGAACAAAGTGATTATAAAAATACTACTGCGGGAACTGCAACTGGAGTAACAATAACAGCTACAACAGATTCCATGACAACAACAATTGCATCACAACATAGTGATAATAGTTTACAACCTAGTGAAAATTCAATAATTACAGATAATAAAATTACAGCTCAATTACAATCTCAAGGTGCTGATAATAACACACATCCGTCCATTAATAGCAATCTAACTAACAGTGATATTCTACCAAATAATATTTCAAATAATTCCTCTTATAATACCATGACAACAACTACTTCTCAAATAAATCAAATAACCCAGTCCCAACAACCACAACAACAACAATTGCAGCAGCAACATCAACAACAACAATCATTAAATAATCAAACGAATCCATTTGCATGTAATACTGATCTAAATGATAAAGATCATTCTTCTATTGCTACAACGTCTACCATTATTAAATTTTCTTCACCTAGTGTAATTTCTACAAGTTCCAATATTAATAATACTATTACTATATCTAATTCTATTCCCTCTAATTCTATTACTACCCCTACTGTTAATAATAGTAATATCAATATTAATCATGATGAAATACTAAAAATTACTGAAAATAATGAATCAAATGGGGAAACTTGTTCGATAATAACATCAACTTCAACAACTACAACCACAGCTAATAATTCTCCATCCTCTACATGTACTAACAACACAGATATATTTTCAAATTCTAATATAAATGAAAATTCTGTAGAAACAAGAGTTGATGAGAAAGCTCGTGGTTCTGTACTTGAAAAAATGTCAATGTTTGAGCAAGCAAGTAAGGCGGCAGCTGCTGCTGCTGCAAATTCAATGTTACCGTTGAGTAATACTAGAAGTACACATTCGACAACATCATCTGGTGACAGTATATATTCAACAAAAGACAAAGAGAGTTTTAAGTCATCAAGTGGAAACTTAGCTATTAGTGAAAAGGATCCAGGTAATATTATATTCTCTTGTATTAGATTTATTGTAATAAATTGAAAAATGAAAGAAAAAATTAAATATTAAATAAAAATAAGTTCGAAAAATTAAAGGATTTGCAAAGATTATTGCTTTTAAAATTCAAGTATACTTTAAAAAAGTTTATAACTCCTTTTGAACACGATTTCTATGTCTGATACTAAAAATCTTTTTCTCTTTCAAAAAAGTTATATTTAATTTTAAACTTATTTTTATTTGAATTAAGATTATAAAATATTAAAGAAAGATAGGACGCTTTCTCTTTTTACGTATTTGAGTTCAAAATTAAAGCGAAACAAAAAATCTTTTCTTTTCCAAATAAAAACAAAAAATATATTTAAATATGAATATTTTACGACCTAAAGAAGATATTCTTCTAAAAGCTGAAGCAGTGTTGGATTGTGATGTTCTTGGTAAGTTCATTTTTTTTCTGTTTTTTGATATCACAAACACAAAGGATATTAAATAAAGATATTACATTGCAAGCAAGAATATATACGATATATTTTATCACAATAATCATAATATACGAAAATATTATTTATTTATTTTATAAATAATTTTCAAAAACAAAAACTACAGAAAATACGATAAAATAATGAAAATACACTCTAGGTATATTTATAGAATCAATTTAATTTAGATTATGTTACCTTACGTACAAGAATATTAAACGCACATGAAAAAAATTTAAATTTACTTTTTTTTTATTTTAAATACATATTATTTTGTTACGATTTGCAATGTCAAATTCTTAAAAAATGCAATTAAGCAGCTGAAATGCACACTAGTTACATATTGCAGCTTAAAAAACAATTTTTTATTAAGTACATATTATACTAAAATTGAATACCACTAATTTTTGAGAAGAATAATTGCGAATATAAAGCCAGAAATCATCAACTGCAAAAAAATACTTAAAACTAATGAAAAAAAAAAACACTTATGCCAATTTTACTAAAAGTTTTGTCTGCACAATGGCCTAATAGAAGATGGTTAATTTATATCTTAAACTTAAAATATTATATATAATAAATATTAAAATGATTATATATGTCACAGATTGAATTTGAATCGTAAAACAACATGAAGTTTTTCTAATATCGAAACTCTTTAGGTCTTTTTAGACTCATTTTAAAAATTAAAAGAGAAAGAAAAAGAAATTTACTATTAAAAATTACAAGTTATTTTTTTTATCCTTTTCGTATACGCTCTTGCAGCCCTTTTGATATTTTCATGTGAGAAATACAAAAATAACTCAATTTAAATAAAAAAATAAAAATTCAAACACTGCTACGTATTATTTAAGTAGAAACTGTGTTGCTTTTTCGCTACATAAAATCCATTGCAACGTAATTTTTATCCAAAAAATGTATTTGCTACTTAAGAAAAAGTTTTAAGGAATTCGCAATTTAAATTAAAATTTATTATTTAGAAAGAATATAACACAGTTTGTACAATTTTTAGAATCAAAAAATTTAATGTTCACAAAATTTTAGTTCCTTTTATTTTATATTATCATTCTTATATAAAAGAAATACTTCGAAAAAAATAAATTCGTAAAATGTTTATTGAAAAGCTGCAATAAAGAATGCATTCAAATTAACAACAATTTTTCAATTTAAATTTTCTAGAACATATGATAAATTTTAAATATTCACCATTTAAATCTAATTTTATTTTGTAGAAATATAAAACGATTTATACGATTTGTAGCACTTCTAGAAATATTTATATCATCGAATGAAAAAATGTTCTAATATATTTTTGCTTATAAGTTTGCAAAGTTGCATTATTTTACATTATTTGATATATAGAGTTTTCAGTTAAAATTCCTTAAAAAAATCTCAAAATTTAAAATTTGATTTTTTGCTATGTCTTTTAGACCAAAACATTTTTTAAAAAATAGTTTGAAAAATACTAAATCTTCAATAGAATCTATGAAGACATGCAACGGCCCTATGCTCCAATTTGGAGCTTCTTATACTAAAATTGTGATAGCTACATTTTATTGCTTTGGATCAACTTTGGAAATGAAAATAGAATTCAAATATAAAATTTACCAAGGTTTTTCTATCACACTTAAAATTTTGAAAGAGTTCAGTTATAAACATAAATTTTGCTTTTGAGAAGGTTTTTTTACTCATGTACATAATACATAAATTTACTCTAAAGTTTTTTTGCTGGTAAAAGGATATCGATATAAATGCGATATCGAGGTTAATGCGTTCTTTTTTTTGCTTGTAACCGTTTGTTTATAGACGAGTAAACTAAGAACGAGGAAGTAAAAGGTTATATAAAATCAATTTTGTTTTAAAGGAATTTTGCTTTTATGCGAGTTACTTATAAACGAGTCCGACTGTAATTTTAAATTTGTGAAATTTGATAAAACCTTACATTTTAATTAGCGAATTTTATACATTATTTATCTTTTAATTACTTTTATTTATCACTTCAAAATTAGTTTTCTAATTCCTTAAAATAAATTAAGATAATAATATGTGTGCAATTATGTACAAATTTAAACAATAACTATAAAACAATATTAATTAACAAGGTATTCACGATCGAGAGTAATTAATATTAAAAAATATCGGTAAGGTCAATAGCGCCTAACAACTATTTAAAATAACACTTTTCTATTGTAATATGTTAATATATAAAATATGTAGTGTATGCTAATAAAATAAAACTTTTATGGTGAAAATGCATAAATACTTTTATGTATAATAAAACTTATTAGGGCTGGGGTCCCTGAGGTATTAAAACGAAATTGGCTTCAGCTTCAGAATGCTTTTGGAGTACAATAAAGTTATGCATAGCTTGTACTACAAATATTAAATACGTATAAATCGTTTTATTTTGAATAATTTTTATAAACTATTTTCAAATATTTTTATTAAAATATTTTTCAATAGAACATAATTAATAATTCAGTAATTAATTTTTTTTTAAAATTCAATGAAAATTTATACTGACTTAATTAACAATATGAACGATTTGTGGATTCTTCCAAAATTTAATGAATTTTCATTAATTCTTTTTTTTTGTCAAACTTTTACAAAGAGCACTCGTGCAATATGTTAAGGTATATAACAAGGACAGTAAGCAATTTTAATTGAAAATAGTTTAGGATCTTTGTGGAAGTTTTGATAATTTTATTTTGAATATCTTTAATTATTTTTAAGAATTTCGGCATCCCTTATACAGTTATTAAGATTATTAATTTATATTTTTACAATTAATATCGTATATATATACGTATATAAGTTTTTTTATATTTCCATTTATGTATATATACATATTTTTTTATACCTAAATTTGTGTTTATCCAAAAATAATTTGCAATCTAAAGCACTGCTCCAGCATTAAGTTTTTTTTTTTAAATATTTAATATTTTCAAAGATAATTGAATTGGAAATTAAAAAAAATCTTTACCTCAAAAATTGTATTTTAATCGCTGATTAATTCTTTCTTTTTTAGTTTAATATTCAAATATGTTGTAATTTAAATTAAAACTTAAATTGTGCATATACATGTAGTTCTATATATTTAAAAGTTTAACCAGGTAAAAAGTGTTTTTCGGGGAATAACATTATTTATGAATTTTACTAAAATAGTGAAAGATTGGTATAGTATGCTACATCAAATTGAAAATCAAAGAAAAAAAATACGACTACTTTACTTTTCAAAAAAAATTACTTTTCAATATTTTACGAAATAAATATTAAAATTTTTAAGAAAAATCGTTACTCCTCAAGAAACTCTGTCATATCATGTAAACATAAATTACTAAAAAACACAAGCTCTCACTCATAATCAATTTTTTCATAGTTATATATAATTTGTAATTTGGACTCATTTCAAATAACAAAATAAAGCAAAATAATAAAATCTTAAGCAATTGCTAAAAAGAAAGTAACGACATTCGGCTAAAAACATTTTTATCTCCCATTTCTCTCTCATTTATTATCAAATCTTGAATCAACGAAATTGCAATTTTAGCTTTATTTACGTTACTGTGTTATTAAAATTTTGATTCATTTCGCTCGAAGCTAACTTAAATAAAATATTATAGACTAAGTGATTGTATTTTTTGGTTCTACATGTATATGCTAACATGAATATAAAATTAATAATTATTTATATAAATTATATTATTTAAAAAATGCTATTAAAAGTGATGGAAATTATAAAATATTAAAATTTATTTTATATAAGCATGCATTTATTATATATTTATTTTTTAGCATGATTTTTTTTAATATTAAAAAATTTTATATTTTAATTAATTTTATTATATTTTTTTCATTTTATAAACTTTTTTAATTTATTTTTTCTTTTGCATTAATTTCAAATCCTGTTGTTATAATACACCTGATCAAAACAAAACTTTTTTGAATATTATATATGCATTTTTATATAACATTTGTTTAAAAACCTGTTATTTGAACTGTAAAATATTATTGCATCACCAAAATGCGCTTAAAACTTTAATTTATAAAAAACAAAATAATTATAAACACATCATTTACTGCAATCAATAAACAAAACACAACATTAATACAAAAAAATAAAAACAAATAAATTTTTTTAAATTTTGCAAACTAAAAATTAACACAAAATTTAATTGATTAAAATGAACAATCAACAAAAAATTTTTTTTTTAAATAAATCAAATAAAATTGATCAAACAAAAATTAAAATAAAATAAATTGATCAAAAAAAGATCAAATTTATGAGGATTCAATAAAAGAATTAAACAATTTAATTGGTGAACTCGATTCATTTCAACGTGAGCATGAAATGAAAGAAAAAGCTGCACATAAACAGAATGGATTTGCACCGCTTTCAATCATTGATCATAGTAATAGTACAAGTCCGTTTCAATTTCAAATTACTACAGTTACAAATACATTAATAAATATTAATGGCTTAACAGGAAATAGCAGTAATAACATCACAACAAATCATAACAATCATACAAATAATAGTGTTGTTGGTTTAAATGATGTTAAAAGTACCAATAATATTATTGCTGGTAATGGTAATGGAAGCTTAGAAACTGATAATGGTAGTGATAAAATATCAATTGGTAGTTTAAATTATTCAACACAAAGTACTGGTAATGTCAGTGGCAGTGATGTTAAATTTGCATATTCTGATTCAGAGATATCACGTTATGTTAGTGAAGATGCAAATTCAATAAGCGGCTTCGAAAATCCAACGTTTGCTCATTTTAATAGTAATTGTAGTAATAATCCAAGTATTGGTGGTAATAGTATTGCTGGTCGTGATGAATATGATAATAATAGTGATCGGTTACAAATAACAGATACAGATAGTGGACATCATGTTATGATATTTGATCAAAGTTATCCAATACCACCAGATATAGAATTTGTATCAAAAAATTCGGAAATTGTTGTATTACGTTGTAAGGAAACAACAAATGATATTGTAGTAGGTGAAAATATAGAACAACCAAAACAAAGGTTAAGTTCTTTTAAAAGTGAACAATTTCCATCAAATAAATCATCAATAACACCAAATGGTTCAATAACAAACTTATGTAGTGCTTTAGAATCACCATCATTAATAAATGCAAGTCCAATAGCGGCAACTTTTAGAAAACACTCAAAACAATCACTAGTCAGTACTAGTAATGTTATGCAGCAACAACAGCAACAACAACAATTCAATCAACATCAAACTCCACAAAAAAATTTAAGTAGAATTTCAACAGCAAATGAATCTTCTTCTTCAGGTACGAAAAATATTTTGATTTGTGATTGTTTGATTGATTTTTTGAGTGCATTCGTTAGAATATCTTTTGAATGCAACTATACTCATAGAAAATTGTTTATTAAAAATATAAAGCTTTAAATTAAATGCTAATATTATATAAATAGAAAAATTTATATAGTCTTTACAATGGTTACCAAGAATGAAGTCTTGAACCTATTCAAAGCACATATTCTTTTCATTTGATGTTTATTATTATGTTTGTAGAATAGATTTAACAATGATTATTAATATAATTCTAAATCCGAGATAGGACAGTAAATAGACCTATTTAATTTACCAGAACAAAAAATCTTCTATAGATTAGTGTATAAACTTAAGCTCCAAAAGTAGCGCATGTGCTACAAGTGCTCACATTTTCTTAATATTAAATTAATATAATTTTTGGGTTTTGAAGGGAACATAGCAATATTATGTATTTTTGAATTAAATTTCAAAATAAAATTTAAAGCTTTAATAATTTTTATTTCACAAAAATATGATTTTTACAATTTTAACTGTTATAACAATTAAAAAAGAACAGAATTATAGTTGAAACTAACAATTTTAATAATTTGTTTTCTAACACTTTATTATTATTTTTAAGTAATTATTTAATACTTAGATTTAAAATTTTTTCTTAATAACAATAATACTGCAAAAAATATCTTAAAAAGAAAAATGTAAGCAAATTTAAACTAATAAAATATTGTTAAAATAAAATAGCAAATTTTCTACAAAATTAATCAAAAAAAGTATCGATATAAAAAAACAAATGAACATAATAAATTGGGTTTACATAAGGTGTAATCGATTATGTAAAATTCGCGTTGAGTTCTTTGCATCTGTATTGTAACTTTTAATGTTGTCAACAGATGTCTACTTTTATAGTGTACCTATGATAATGCAAAAAACAAATGTCGCCTAATAAATAATGTCAGTTTCCTGTCATGGTACTACAATTTTTCGGCATTTTCGTAATCGAAAAATTCCTGCTGATGATTTGGTTTTCTGTGCAAAACAAAAAGTTTTGAGAAAATAAGTAATTTTATTCAATTAAATTTAGTTTAAGAAATATTTGTAATGAAAAAATAACTTAAACTTTTACGTTTTTTACAAGTTAGTTTAAATTAATATTAATTTGATATTAAAGCAGTTGCATGCAAAAATTGTATGCGAAAGTTGATATGCAAAAGTTTTTAAGCATTGATGTTGAGTGCCGGTTGATGATCCTCAGATGCAATTGTTGTTGACCGGCATTATTGACATTATCGATTACACCCATATATTCACATTTGTTTTACCACAATCATAAGTAATCATAAATTTAAAGATCAAAATTAATACGTTAAAAATTACACAAAAAAACTTTTGATTAACATTATTTCATATTTAAAAAAAAAATAAAACAAAATAAAACACAAATTTTGATCTTAAAATAATAATAATTGTAACATCATGCAAAAAAAATGTATATATAATCAACAGCTTTACGAACACAATCATCATCGATTATTAATAGTAATATTAAAATAACAAAAGAATTCAAAGCAAGCTTGGATGAAAGGCTAGCAAATAAATCAAATCTAATCAATAATAATAGTAATATAGTATCATCAACAATGTCGCAGACAAAGCCAGTCATTTCACCTAGACCGACTTCATTGTCTGGTTTGTTTTTTTTTTTTATTATATTTTTTTTGTTTTGTTTTTTAAGTTAATTTTCCATTTATTTAATTTTCATTTAATTTTCTTTTCATTATAAAATAACGAGTTTTAAATTAATTTATTCTTATTGTTACCGTTACTTTGGTATTTATGTTCATATTTTATCAATTAATATTCTTCAACTTATAATTTATATAATGTTCTATTATACATATATTTGTTTATGGCAAAGTCCCTGTACATATTTATAAAAAATTTATGTTAAAAAATTGCTTTTATATTTTGATATTTTATTACTTATATTTTCCTAATTTTTATTTGTTTTGTGTATTATTATTTTAATTATGTTTACTGTCAAATGTTTATGGTCCTAAGTGAAAACATATCAAGATGAGATAAAAAGAAAACAGATTTCCAAATTGTAAAAAAAATTGCTTTTATCTAATGTAGCAGTGCAAAAAGTTTAAAAGTATTGTGTTTAGCGTACTTACATTTTAATTTGTCAAAACCGTATAATTTAACATTTGCATATAATTTTTTCATTTGAAAATTTGTCTAAAAACTTAACTACTTTATTACAATATATTAAAAGAACAATAAATAAAAAAATGGGCTAAAAGATTCCGATAATGCATTTCTTTCCGAAAGTTTATAAAGAAGACCGGCATTTTTTCCGCCAGAGCATCCTACTCTAGTTTTATTGCAAATTTAAATTTTTTTTTTAAATATTGAATGGAATGCTTTGTAGATATTTTTTTATAAGCATATGGAGGATAATGCTTTGTAAATTTACAGTGCATCGTGTATCTTTTTTACAATATGGAAGTCAGGGGTTACTTTTTTTTAAATTTTGCTATACATCTAAAAACTTTTTTTATATTTTATTATTGCAATAATAATTATAGATGTTTATTTATTTTTCAAAATTTTTTTATTACAATTTTTTTAGATTAAGAATATTTTAATAAATATTTTTTAAAATAATGTCATTATGTTAAATACTTTGTCACTGTATTTAACTATGTCACTTTCTTCTTAACTATGAATTGATTAAACAAATTTTACTTAGAAATACGTATTTAGTTATAAAGTTAGAATAATAAAATTTTAGAAGGTCTAAGATTTAATTTGAATGCATGAATTCAAAGAAGTATTACTTAAATTCAATTTAACTCTTGAAGAAATTACACTTGCTCGTACAGCTAAAATTATTACGAAAACAATAAGATATGTTGTTTGCTTTTTTGATGCTAATTAATGAAAATATTGTAGCCCGACAATAAGATCAAATCGACAGGTTAACTAAACGACTCTGTGTGAATTTTATTTAATTTATCTTAATAACGGAACTGAAACTTGATTATCTCAATGAATTTAAACATACATATAATATAATGGTGCCATGTAACAAAATATTAAAAACCTGAATTCTAAATTGTTGTTCAAGAAAATAACAACGAATAAATTTGTAATTCTTTATATTCTATAAATAACTATATGTTGTAAAATAAAAGCTAATGTTTAATGATTTATTAACTGAGTTACAGTGCACCGTTGTCGTTTTTACATATATTTTTCTAACGAAATCTTTTGATCGCCTTATTACTGACATTGTTTTAAATAATATTTATATTTCAAATTATGAATTTAATTAATTAAATTTTGTAAAGGCAAATTCATTGTTTTAATTGCTTAATTTTGTTATATTTTTTTTTCTACTCAAATCTCATATAAAATGAAAAGCTTTTATATTTTTTTTTCACTATTCTGGTATATTGGATAAAATATGTATGTATATTAATTAATGCTTATTATTTTTTTGTTTTTTTTTTTTGCCTAATCCATCATTATGTCGTCCTTATAAAAATTAAAACAAACTAAATTAATTTTACAAGTATCCTCAAAATTTATATATGTGTTTGATTTCAAACTTTTTCAAATTGTATAATTCAAAATCAAAATTAAATTATTGAATAATTATGCGAATTTTAATTATTGGTTACCTATTATACTTTAAATGTTTTATTTTTAATTACATTCATATATATGAATGTATAAATGTAGTATTTAATTATAATCATTATAGAATAACAATGTTGAATCAAATTATTAAATCAAAAATAAACTCTTAATTTACAAAACTACAGGTTGTGTAACTAGAATAGCAAGACGTTCTTCAATAAATAGTAATAAACCACCACCACCAGTACGTAGGAGCTCATCAGTAACACCAAGTCATAATTTGTCAACACCAGTAAGTTTTTGCAAGCTTATTTGTCATTGAAAATTTGCAAGTTATTTTTTTTTGTCTTGCTGTGGACAAAATAAAATGAAATTTAACGAAATTGTTGTTAGTATAATTTTAAATTACCGTAGTATAATAAAGGAAATATGATTTAGTGGTTTTAAAGAGTTCTTTTTTGTTTTTGTTCTATTTTACTTTATATTAGAATATCCAAAAATTTGAATTATTATTTAGTTTATTTTTCTTATGTTTTTATGTATCATTTAAAGCTATGTTCTTATATACTGTGTTATATTTTTATTTTTAGAGTTCACCATGTTTAAATCAACAAAATTTGCATAGTACATCCTCAGTTGAAAGTTTACCACCACCACCAGCTTATCTATTAGATCGACAGCAACAAAACCCATCACCATCAACTGTTAATGTTGCGGAAACTGTTAAAGCTTTAGCAGCAATTCGACATACTCCAGCAAGCCCAAGTGCTGTAAGAAGAGTAACACCGCAAGTTGGTACAATTCAGGTATTTATTCGATGATATTGAGTTTTGGCAAAAAAACAAAAAGTTGAAAAAAATTATTTTATACAGTTTTAAATAAAAAAGTTCATGCAAAATTTAAAGTCATTCATTCCATTTCGCAAAATTTAGATGTTCTATTCAATAAAAATTTTATTATGTATTAGTTTTGAAACAATTAGAAATTATATTTATAATTTTTCTTTTTATTAGCACGAAAAGAATGCTTTAAATGTGAACTAAAACAAAATAATTTTAATTTAAATAAATTTTAATTTTGCAGCTATGACTACTTTTATTTTTCATTTTATTTGATTTTTATTTTTATTTCTGTTATTTTTCGGTGTTAACTCCTTCCTCAAAAAAAAACATAACTTCTATCTTCGGTGTTTTTATGTAAAAAACAAAAATATTACCGTACAAATACATACATGTGTATATGGTTTTGTGTATATAGAACAACAAGTCTATTAGTAATGCGACATCGAACAATGCTTTCGTTTCATCACCTGTGAATGATGTACCTCTAGGGTCTAATTCCATTTATAACAATTCTAGTAGTTCAATTCAACAGCAACAACAACAGTTACAACAAAATCAATATCATCATCATCAACATCATCAACATCATCATCATATTATTCAACCACAACAATATCAATCTTCACCTAAAATTCCTTATTCTTCAAATTCTAATAATACAGATAGTAATTATAATAATTCTGTAAGTATTTATACATGCATCAATTTTTTTTTTTGTAAAACTCATCATTTAAATATAATCATAAAATCACACTCAAATCAAAAACATTACCCACACAAAAGTACAAATTGTACTACTGATCAATTACATTATTGTTAATAAATGTTGTTTTCTTCTTACTTTAATAAATGTTAATTTGCACCTATCTTACTTAATCACCTAATAGTGTAACCTTTTAAATTGTGTTTTTTTATGTTTAGAAATTTAATAAATTTTTGAAAAATAATTTATTTCTCGTTTGTACTTGGAAGATTAGGCTTAGTATGGCCTCGGGAAAACTTTTATACAAATTGCAAGTCATATAGTCTACCAGAGTTTAAAAATTCATTCTAACTTGAATTTGAGCGGATAATTTTAAAAAAAGTAACACGGTCTAATAATCTGTCTGTTAATAATTTTCCCAATCAAAAATATTAATAATATCATAATACACATGCATGATACTTTTGCTCGAGAAAACATGAATTTAATATTTTTCATTCTATTTTTTGCTTTGAATTTCCAAGTTTTGTAATTGAATTCATAATATAATGTAATTTTGAATATATTATGATTTGTATTCAAAAGACCGACAATTTTATAAAAGTCAAACACGAATAAACTTATACTTGTGATAACGTTTATATTAATTATCGCTTTCTTTCTATTCAAATGTAATTAACAATAATAAAGGTTTTTTAACTAATCATTAAATGTAACAAAATCTAAAGCAAATAATTCACATTTGCCTTTAAAACCATTTACCACCAAAAGCCTTATTAAAAATATTCAATTACGGATTAATTTTTTATGTTAATCATTAATTTTTATTAAACATGTTGTAATTTTTGAGGTTGCATTTGTATATTAATTCTATTGAACAATTTTTTATTTTCTTTTATAAGATAAAAATAAAATTTATATCAAGTGCAAACGCTAACGTAAAGAATAAATAGAATGTAATTAAATTTGTAATAATTATTGTTGTAGTTATTATTTAGCTGATTCTCCCTGTAGTTATTATTTAGCTCCCTGTGTTAATAAATGTACTAACTTTGATAGAATTCTTTAATTATGTGAATGTCACACGACTTTTTATTCAATATTTAAATTTAGTTGAAAAATGTCTTGTATCATAATATCTTAATAATTCAAGTTCTGTATTTCTATTGTTAAACATTACGTTTATTTTGCAAAAAAAAAATTAAATCATATTTTATGGTTAATCAAAAATAATTTTAAAATAATATTTAATAGTTAATAAAAAAAAATCATATTAGCTAAACTACTAAAAAAAATCTTGTTCCGAAAGGGAAGTGTGATATCTATATAAAACCGCCCAATTGAAACAAACATGTTAAAATGATAGTTTCATATAATTTACGTTATATATTTACAGACCTTCAGAACTAATAATACAAATTCACCGGGTATATACGCTCAACCAAAACAAATAGCTAAAATGTCCAGTTTTCGAACACCACCATCATCTGCTTCTCATAGTACAAGTGGATCACCATTGACTACAGCTAAACCAAATCCCAGTTTAATTGCACAATTAAATGCACGTTTAACTTCATCACCCCAGTCAAAACAATCACCAACACATCAAAATGAAAGCACAAATTACCAATCTTCAACATATGATCAGCAACAATCATACTCATCACAGCATTATGGTGGATCCGGTCCGAATTCACCACATCATCAATCACAACAACAGACAAATAATCAATATTATAGTCAACAAGAATCATTATATTCTCGTGGTAATGAAAGATATTATTCAGCTCAGCAGCAGCAACCACATCAACTTGAATCGGCAGCTTCAACACAAAATTATGAGGGTAAACAAAATCAAATTTATGCTTCTTCTAGTTCCCATTATGAGCAATATACTCAATTCTCCTCTACTACTACAAGTTCAATATCTACTAGTAAAAATCATGAATCATTATTACATTCTTCATCATCATTATCATCGTCAACTAAACAAATCCAATTAAACCAAACCAAAAATCCTTCTAATCACCATAATCAACATCATCATTCACATTACCAACAAAATTCTACATCATCAAACCATCATCATAATAATCAACAATCGCAACAGCAGCAACAATCACATCAAGTCCAGAATAGTCATTATCAAAAAAGTTCACAAATAAAATCACCATCAGCATCTCAAATGCCTCCGATTCCAGCGCAACGTACATCAAGCATTAAGCATCAGCACCATCATCATCATCAACATTTACATCAACAGCCACAACAACAGCAACATCATACTCAAAGTTCCTCTAATGTACAACCAACGCAGGGTCAACAATATACGCAATACCAACAACAACAACACCATTATCAACAGCAGCAACAACAACAAAATAATCACTATCAACAACAACCCACCCAGCAACAATATCATCATGCAAGTGGTGGAAGTGGTTCTGGACAAAATCCAACACAAAATAATCGACAAATACAACAAAAAATTTTCGTTTCCACAAATCCGTTTATAACCACCACCGCCATTAACTATTCTTCCTCATCCGTATCTTCTGCCTCTTCTCATTATGGAAACCATTCTCAGGGACAATACACAGCAAATCCAAGTAAAAATCAAATCATGATCTTAACGATTTAACTGATTTATGGATTTACTAGATTTTTGTTTTTGGATTTAACATTTTTTCTCTCTAATTTCCAGTAAAACGTTTTATTTTTTATTTTTCACTTTCAGTTTTTTATAAGTACTCATACCACTGTAACTTTTTGTTTTAAAAATTTTACATACAACATTTTTTCATAATACATTCTGTAAGAATATAAAAACTATTTTTTAAAATATTTTGCTGAAATTTGAACAGCACAATATAAACTTCTTTATCCGAAAGTTTAATTCCTATTAATTGAATCATAAGAACGAAAATAAATATTATGCCGAAATTTTAAAATAACTGCACGCGTTATTTCAAAAGATAATGTTCCATCTTCTCTATCATCATTTACACTTTTATAAAATATATTTCAAAAGAATCTTAGCCACTTCAAAAGAATGAGAAAAACTCTAAAGTTTCATGCTTTAAGAATGTGATACGCTACACTATATTTTTCACAAAGTCAACTGTTTACAGTATTTTGTAATTTTGCATTCTATCCCAGCATGTGCTATGTAAGTTTGCAATGAGTATAACAACTCTAATTTACAATGTATTACACTCGTAAAATCTTCAGACTAATCAAGTGATACAGCAATTTAAATAAAATTTAAAAAAAACAACACTATAAATATGCTGTTTTCAAACGAGTAACTTACTTATTGTAAACATTAAATCTACAGGTCATTTAATAACTTTTATCCTGTATTTTATTTGTTCGTGAGTGCCACTCTTATTTACGTATACTTAATTTGATTTATCACTACAAAAAACCCACTATTTTATAAACAATTTTAGGTTGTTTTTTGTTTTTAATTTTTACCGTTTTGATTTTGTAGAGTAGCTTTATTATCAATTTTAGCTTCTTATTATTTTCCTTAGCAAAATTACTTACAGCAATATTCAACGAAATTTTACAAGATAAGATTATTTCAGAGCAAATTGGAAAAAGTTTTGTTTACTATAAAATTGGAGAAAAAAAATTAATTTAAAGTTATTTAAACTATTTTTTTTATTATTATTTGAAACTGTATTATATGTGCAACTTTGAAATTGAATTTGGATTAATGAAACAAAAATTTGCTTAAGTTTTCAGCTCTTCAATTGAAAATAAAATGCGTTTGGTTTGGTTTGGTTTTCAATACAAAAAAAAATGTTGCATTTCATCACTCTAATTAATTTGTTTTAATTTTGTGTTTTTATTTTTGAATTAAATCATTCCATTACAACACTAATATTTGAAAAAATAATTTTTTTGAACGGATATTTGTTTATTTTTAGTTAGATTCAATTTTCTTAATATTATTAAATAAAAAATAAATGAATATCCTATCTTTTATTTTACAATTGTACATTAATTTTAAAAATTTAAATGTTTAAATGTTGGCAATTTACAAAAACACAACGTAAATATTTTTTTTATCACAAAATCACCAAAATATTTGTAAACTGTCATCGTTTAAATTTTGAATGCTATAAATTTTTGAATTATTTATTAAATTACTAATTTTTTTATATTTGATTATTAAATGTTTTATATATTTTTTATTAATATAATATCAAAATATTTTTATATAATATTTTTGTAGACTATTCCTCATGCAATGAATCGAACGTTACGAAAACTGGTAGCATTCGAGGAAAATCAAAGGCTGAGTTTTTAGAAAATTTAAATGCAAAATTAGCTAAGCAGGGACTTTCTGGACGGGCATTGTCGGTTAGAAATTTGATAAATAGCAAAGCACTGGTAAGATTTTAGTTTTCTCTTTGTATTTGAATATGTACATACATAAATATATATATTAAAATACAAAATTGAAGAACTAATCAATAAAAAAAAAAACAAAATTTAAAATTATTTCCAAAAAAACAAAAAAAGGTACATAATTTATTCTATTCTATATTTCGCTTTTGTTGACCCCAAATGAGTTGAATTGACATTTGATTTCAGAACAAGTGTATATAGAATAGAATAAAGTATTTTCTGATTTATTTAATAATTTATTTTTTTCGTACAAATTGCAATATCTAAATCGAAAAAAAATAATAGCATTATGACAATCCGAATAGTAGGCTACAAAGACCAATTGTAAAAACTCAGATTTTACGTGAGGTAAGAGAAATTTGAATATAGCCATAGCTAGAAAAATCAAAAGCTAATCACTAACTAAAAGGGAAGAGTTTTAAAAAAATTTTCTTTATTACTAATAAAATAATATAAAAGTTTTACTAAAACAAATTTAAAAAATTCTTTTTTTAGATTTCCATAACAAAAAATTTTTAAAACTTATGTACATACATATTTGATTTTAACGTAAAACTCTAAACATTAACGCAATGAAATTTCATATTACCGAGGAACATTATCATATTACGAGTACCGCAATTGAACATTTAAAATCACTTTTTAAAGTTATAAATATTGGTGGTGTTTTGACAAAAAACATGCAAAACATTTTTAAATCACTTCGCTTTGATATAAAGATGTTCAATTGCTTCTAAACAGTATTCAAAAATTTTCATCAAAACGATTCCTCCTAATAATATCAAATTGAAAATTAAACTAAAAATAAAACAATAATAAAAGTTTTTGAGCTAAAAATTGCAATTGAAAATTTTTCTCTCAAACCAAACAAACATTTACAATTACATTTTCATATAATAAAAAAAGACACAAGAAACTTTATTGTTTTTAAACTCACTCTTATATAGATACAAATTATTTCCATTTTCGCGTAAATGGCGTAGGAAATTATTTTTAATTTGAAACAGTATTATTTTAATAAAAGCACCTCTTTTGGTCATTTAAATTAATTTTGCTTAAGTTTTTCTTATATTAAAAAACAATTTCTGACAATTGTGATTTATTGTTTTATAAATATGTTGTTTTATAAGAATTAATATACAAACATACATAAGAATATACATATATTTTTATATAATTAAATTATTTTTAATAATTTTAGCCGGATCCTCGCATATGCCACGAATCTCTAATGGATCAAATAAAACGTGGTGCAACTTTGAAACGTAATCAAAAAGTAAATGATAGAAGTGCTCCGAAAATTCACTGAAGTAATTAAAGTAATAAAAATATTAGAAATTGAATTAAAAAACTTTTCCTATCTTTATAACACAAGTTAATGATATATACACTTTAAAAAATTAAATGCAAATAAAGAAAAACAATTATTAAGGAAAAAAATAAGGCTAATAATAACAATTATTTTCAAAACTAATGTAAAAAGTAATTGAAACAAATCAATTATATTTTATTTAAAACAAGTGATTTTAATAATATAGCAGCATTTTAAATAGCTGAATTGATGTTGTACTTTTTAATAAAACAAAAATATTATTAAACTTTCTTCAAGAATTATAAGATTTTTTTAATGAAAACAAAAAAACATTTACGTGAAAAGAAGTATATTGAAAAATAATACATGATTTTATTTAATTGTTCAAAAATATTTCGTGAAATTGTCAACTACATTATATATTTCTGCATTATATTATATACATTAACAAATGAGCCAACTGTAGATTTTCTAGAAAAAAATAAAAATAAAAAAAAAATAAAAAAAAATTAAAATAATTCTTTGTAAAAATTAATTCTAATAATTTAATAATTATAAATTTTTTCAAAAACGGAATGAAATGAAATTATTCTTAATTTCTTTTTATTTTCTTTATATTTCTTTTGTTTAGCATTTTTTTTAAATATATCCTTTTACTAATGAAATAAAAATTTCTAATTGATTTACTTTTATTTTGTATATAAACTGAAATTTGAACAGTTTTTGAAATATGTATATTTATTTATAATTTAATTTAAAAAATTATTAAATTTTTTAAGTTTATTTTTTCAGTTGATTAAAATTGTCGCAATTTTGAATATTTAAGGGAAGCGAATAGTAAATGAAATTAATATATTATGTATGTAAATTAATATACTAAAATATAAATTATTATTTTTTTAGTTTTAAAAGAAATCACTGAATTTATATTACTAATTTTGCATTATTTGATACTGAAAAAATATCATTAAAATGGAACAGGAACATGATTTTTTTTATATCATTCAATTTTTGATATGAGAGCAAATTCTTTTCGATGACAAATTCTTTATTAAAATTAAAATAATTTGGCTTTTAAATTTTATTATAATTTAAAAATAAATATTCAAAATTGCAAACTACAAAATTAAATGATAATAAAGAATTTTTTTTATTTCCGATTTAATTTTCAAGTAATTAGTTAATCGTTAATTTTATTTTATTTAAAAAAAAAAATTATCATAAAATAAGACTGAATTTTAGATGCAGAAAAAACACAATAATTATGATTCTATACTATCAAATATATAAACATAATTGATAAAAATTATAAAAGCTAGTTTGTTAAATAATGAAACAAACAAAAAGTTATCTTTATTATAATAAGTACGAAATTATTTTAAATTATATAAATACTTAGATCGGATAATTCGCATATCTTATACATATGAGCATGGTTCTCATTATTTATTTTCAAATTCTTGATTATAATATTATTATATACATAAAACATGTCTGTATCAAAATAAACTGAAAAAACAAACAAATGCTTAATATTGAACAAGATTTGTTTTAGATATTTTAATCTTTGGTCCTTTTTCTAGCAATTTTATGTTATCCACATAAAATCGAGACTACTTTGTAGTTTAATAATATATTGTTACAATAATGTTAAAAGGACATAATCTTTCTTGTTAGAAACTAAAATTACTTTATTTTCCTAATAATGTTTTATAATAAAATTATTAATAAATGAATATGACTGCCAGTTTTGATTCATATCGTGTAAGTACTATACGGCTAAACTTTTAATTTATATTTAGAAACTTAATAAAAAGCCCTGATTTAACATAAAACTTCACATTAAACATTTTAATTACAAGAAATCAGTTTTGTTAGAAAGTTAATTCTATTGAAACTAATTATAGCTCTAAAAAATATTTAAATATTCATTTTTTTTTTTATTTCGTACTAATATTAACTTCTAAATTAGGTTTGCATTGACAATTCAATATAAAACTTAATTTCTATTTTGCTAAAGAAAATTAAAAACTAACTAAATATCCAACCGAACAATTTAGATATTTTTGCAAATTTTCAAGTTTGGATTTATCGAACGTGCTTTGTGCTATACAGAGTGTTTCGCATAAGATGACAAAAAATTCAGTTTGAATATTTAAAAATATTTAATGTATTTTCTTTTGATATTTTGCGAAATGAATTTTGAAAAACCACTGACTTTCGCTAGTGCAACCTTTTATTGTCATGCAATTTTCATTAAAATTAATCTAGAAATAATTTTTTTGAAATGTATTATTTGCTTTATTAACAAATTATAATTAAATTATTTATGAGTTAGAATGCTAGATAAATCCATAACGTTTAAAGTTAAAAATAATTTTCTTTAAAAAGAAATAAATAATTTTCTTTCATATATACAAAGTTTAGAAAAGATTATTATCTGAACTTTGTATATATAAAACAAGTATATTTTTAAAATTAAAAAAATTTCAATCACTTTAAAAACTATATTTTACGTAAATCTTTAATTATTAAAAATTGAAACAGATTGTAATTAAGAGGCTAAATATTAAAAAATTATATAACAATAGCTGCAATATTTTATGCAGCTATTGCATACTGTGAATAAAAAAATTATGAGTTAAAAAAAATTAACCAAATTTACTTTAATATTCAAAAATTATTTTTTTTTTTTAGGCATATGCAATCATAATGTTTAATACGGTTTGCAATCAAAATATTTACCAAAAATACCAAAATTTTTTTTTATTGAAAAAAAGAAGATATTCACATAATATAATAAAAAATATTAAAGAATAATTAACAAAATTTACTTTAATTTCAAATAACTGCAACAAAACCAAATTTGCATAGTTGTAAAAATATTAAATAATTAATTTTAAGATTCAATAACTAAATATCAGATAATTTGTTTAGATAATCTAAATTATCTGTTAAAAATACTTCTTTTAATTTTAAAAACAAATCGTTTTTAAAATTATGAAAAATTGAACTAAAACAGAGACATTTCTTTTTTTGTAAATATTATGTGAATGAATATTTGTCTAAAAAATTTAAATAGATTTTCAAATATTTTTTATAATTTCCATTTATATTAAAATATAAAATTTGCTTAATTTTAATTAAGCAAGTTTTACTAAATGAATTAATTGTATTATTATTATTTGTTTACTTGTTTTACACATTATTGCTTTATTAATACTAATTTTTTTGATATCATTTTAAAGGAATCATATAAGTAGAAACATAATTTTATCTTATAATATTTTAATTTCTGTAAATAGTTATTTTCTCTTTCGTTAAAATATAATATTGCAAAAAATGGCATATTTATATAATACACAAAATGCTTATGTTATAATAAATATTTATAGATCATAAAAAAAATGAAAAGTCCTATGTAATTGAATCTAGAGTTTAAGATGAATCTTAGTACATTTGTTTTTAAATTGCTTGTCGTTATTATTAATTGTACTTTAATTTTTTTTCAATATACCTTCGAAAGTTACTAATGGTTTATATTCTAATTAAAAATCTAAATTTATAAAAAAAAAATTAATATTTTTTTTAGGTTTAATAAGATTTAATTTAACAAAACTGTCTTAGTTATTTTACACCCATCTCTACTTTTTATTTCATGTTTTATTTTCGAAAAAAAATGTGCTTTCAACAATTAAAAAAAAATAACTATACTACCTATGAAATTTATAAAAAGAAAAAAAAATGAATTAATATTAACTATACTATGCAAAATGCTAATAAACCATAATATATTGTATGTATAACAATGGTATAAAAATTAATTTAGTAATTAAACTTATATACTTGTAAAACTTACAATATTTAAAAATAAAATTAATATAAATATAATAATTTGTTATTTACTGATTGTTGTATTGATCAATATTTACATATTGATGTTCTTCAAAATGCAAAAGCTTGTTATTTACCGAAGCATACACAGGTAAAACAGCTAATATGTATGAAAAAGGGGAAAAATACATGAAGAACAAGCACGGAAATGGTGGAAGAAACCAAATTACATATTCTAACCGCTTTGTGTTTGAATATAAGACATAATATTAAAGAAGTATGGGGATTTCCGATAATTTAGACATGCGTTTATTTTTTTTACACATTCTTGCAAATCTGCTGAAACTGAATATTTGCAGATTGCAAAACTTTTCTTTTATACTCGTTTTCGAGTTACAGCCTGTTGAAAAAAAAGGTACCAGATTTTTCCTGCATTTAAATAAATGCTATTTACTTTTGATCTTGCAATAAAATTGTACTGAGCTATAGTTTTCGAGATAAAGTCAAGTAAAAATTTTTTGAAAAACGTAAAGTTTTTTTTTTTATTTTTTTTTCGATGCATTACGTTGAGGGATAAAATTTAATCCAAATAATATTTTCCTCTATCTCTCATAGTTTTGCCAGTAAAACGTGTTAAATATTTTTTTCAACAGGCTGTAGCTTGAAAACCAGTGTATCTGCACTCCCCCCGCCCCCCTAAAATACGATTTTTTGCTTAAAATTGATCTAAGAATAATCCCTGAAATTATTTGCCTCCTTATGCCAAACACACTGTCTTATAAGACTTAGCACTGAATTATCGATATCATCACTTTCTCAATGAATTGTGTAAGTGATGATACCTTGCTATTACAAAAAATCAAGGCCCTTACGCTGATTATTTTCTGAATGTATTTGTAAAATTGTAGCAAATATTTATTGAAATCCTAAAAAAATTAACGGAACCTGGAAGGTTTTTTTTAAAACAATTTTTTAAAGTTTTAATAACACAAAACTTTAAGAATGTAAGCACTAGCAAATTAGAAAAATTGAATGTTAACTTTTTCTAATTAAAAATTTAAAAAAATTTGATCTTGTGGGAGATTTATAATGTTGAAAAGGGCCCTCTATAGATCGCAAAAGAATACGTGTAAATTCGTCAGCTGTGAATTGTCACTCTCTCTTGAGGTCCAGGCCTGTATTTCTTTCAGCCGTGGTAAGTACATTTCCTCAGAATTTCAAGAGAAAAATTTAAAAGAATTAAGAATAAAATTTCTTTATTTATGAAAGCATTACAATTTACAAGTATCGCATGTTTATAATTTATTTCCCACTTTTACTTTATACCTCTTGGATTTTCTCACAATAAATGTTGTTTTGAAAAGAATGTATTCCTATTTACGAACAAATGTACATAATTATTGTGTGTATGCATAATGTACATATGCATTTTTTTATAATATTGAGCTTTATAATATGCATACATAGTTAATCTTAAATAAATTTTTAGTATTTTCTATTATGCTCCCTGTTCCTTTCGCTCTTTTCTGTTGCAAATAGATACTGTATGTATATGTATGTATGTACTTACACTATTATTTATTTAAAGTGCACTCATGTATTATTTGCGAAAGTACATACAAATTCTCTATATGTACTAAAATTAACATTTTCATTTTGTGACCATAAATTATTTTCAAAAAATTGGTTACATACGTACTAAGTCGTAATACGTACTTACGCTTACGATGGCGTAAGTTTCTTGCCTGCAGCGGGTGTAAGACTCAAGAACATTAAGCAGACATTTGTTAATTTTTTTTAATAATTCTGCCGTATTTTCTGGCAATTATAAGGCTCATGACTACGTTGCAAAGAAACAAGAACTTAAAGATTAATCAAATTGAAACCGAAAAATCAATTTTTATATCTTATTATTGTTTGGCTATGATCGTTTTACCTCTAAATTAAGATGCATGAATAGAAGTTGAATTGAATTAGAAATTTAACGTCACATTTGCATCTTACATAAAAAAATTAGAACTTAATTTGTTTCAAAAATAAGTTAAAAAAATGTTTGTTAGTTCAAAATATTACAAACTTCATTTATTTTTGAAAAATAGATCTATAGTATTTTGATAATAGGTATTAGCCAAGACATCGATGGTTTCTTCTTTCACTCCTGCTATTACTTCCAGAACTTGCCTAAAATGTAAGGGAGTTTGTGAAATATTTAAAATCAAAAAGAATATATGTACATATAAAATAATTTTATAACTAACCTAATTTGACAAGGTTCACTTCTTCCATCAACTAGTGTATCCTTAGTCCATTTGTCTTTCTTTTTAACAAATGGAAATTGAGTTTTGACGTATTTTGAACTAGCATGGGACGGTCGAATACCACACCACGGACAGTCGGTTTCTAACAAAATTTTGTTATTTGGCAGTTCTTTGACAACCTTTAAATTTTCTTCAGTTTTTAGGGAACACCCGTTTATTCCAATATAAAAACCAAGTCCTATAATTTTTTTAGCTTCTTCCAATGTTCCATCAAAACTATGAACTACACCACCGGTAGGAAAAATTTTTTCCATATTCCTTCCAACAATTTCACAAAAATCAAAATGTGCATTTCTGCAATGCAGAAAGAGTGGCAAACTATATTTTTTAGCTAAATCTAATTGTCTCTCAAAATATTTTTTTTGAATCTCTTTTTCACAAAATTTTAGTCGATCGTAATCTAAACCGCACTCTCCAATTGCTACTACTTTAGAATGATTTTTTTCGATTGCACTACACAACTGGAGGAAATACTCCTCTGGGTTTGATTCAAATTCATTACACCTTGTTGGATGACAACCAATTGTAATATACAATTTATCTGCAAATAAATTTTCCAAATTTATGCATTAATGTAGTTATATACACATAAAAACTATTATGTTTTATTAAATTTGGAATTGTTAACTGGATTACCATTTTTGTTAGATATATTAATCGCCTCTTCAATTTCCGAAATACGTCCAACAGTTATAATAGCTTTTTCCACCCCATAAGTCCCAGCTCTTTCAAGTACATGTATTAAATCTGAAGGATGCTTTTGAGAGCCGTTGTAAAATCCTTGAAACATCAAATCAGTTAAATTAGCCCCAATATCTACAACAAATTAACTTGAACTATATTTTCAGAATTTTTAACTATTTCTGGATATGTTATAAATTTTAAAGACATACCTATAAATTTTAAAGACATTTTCTGAATATTTATAAATCTTCCCATTCAATACATATTACGTTTAATTCTTTAGCTAACCAAATTTGAGAATATCGAAAAGTCAACATGAACTTATTGAAAGGGAAACGCAGTGTTATACACATGTAAAAGTATAATAGGCATAACAAAAACATCTCTGTATTCAGTATTCCTGTCAGCAATGATTCTAATTAATTTGATTTTGACAACTTTCGGTATATAACCAATGTTACCAAAATGGTCTGAGAATGTGCTAAAATTTTCACTCGTAAGAATATGTGAGATTTAATACAAAAATATGCATTTTTCGTATATAACATGATAATATTCCAATCTGATTTTATTTTGGTGAATCAAGATTGAGCGTTTTCTGCTTTATATTAGTCATAGACGTTGAATAAATATGATTTCCCATTTTTTTCCGAAAAAAAATTACGATTGTCAAACTCATATGGTATCGACAATCCATCATTTTTAGCATTTTCCAAAAATTTTTTGAAAAAAAGTGCTTGTTAGTTTCACTCTTTCCGGCCATCCGTACGTCAGTCAGTCCGTCCGTCCGTCCGTCCGTGGACATTTTTTTTGTTTACAAAACTTCTACACCCTTGAAGATAGAAAGCTGAAATTTAATACGTACATAGATCTTTACACTATTTTTACTTTATTTCAAACACTGCAGAAATCATTCATCCTAAATATATGTAATCCTAGAAATAGTTTTGTATATAAATGAAAATAATTTTAATAGTGGGATAAGTATACATAGACTGTATTTAAAAGCAGAATTTTCACTTGTTGAAGGGAAAAGTGCTACAATACAAACCACAATACAAACCATTGGTTTGACCCAACTTTATTAATTTATTAAAATGAAAATTCGAAATGGGACTAGTAGAACAGATTCTCCAAAAGAACATTAAAAGAATAATGTATGAAATTTGAAATTGAAATATGTTCATTTTTAAATAAAAATTGAAATAAACATACATATACATTATGTATTGAAACGTTGTATATTGGAGTTTAAAGATTTTTTCGAGATCTTTCTTCCAGACCACTCCTGAGTCAAAGAAAAAACGCTAATGTTTTAAAAGGGGTTGTGTTTTGTAAGCATAAACCAAAAATAATCTTCCTTTTTAAACTTAATAAAATATTAGAAATTAGAATTAAAAAATAGACTAGAATTAAAAATAGATATTATAAATTAGAATTAAAAATAGACATTATAAATGATATAATGTAAAAATAAATAAAACAAAATGTTCATATACCGTAAAAAGTTGCAAACATGTGATTTTTGAAAAATATAAATTTTCATAATTACTCGTTATTTAAATCTGGCAGACAAAACAAATCTTAAGAAACCAAAAATTTCTATTAGCCGTGCTTAGAAGAGCATCGTCATTTATGAAATTTTGTAAAGACAAAAAGCATAAAACTAAATCATAAAAATTGGACACTTTTCTATTTCTTTTTTTAGAAGTGCCAGTATTAGACCTGCATACCACAATTAATTTTCACGATTTGTGCTCATGACATAAATTGTTCATAAATTGTTCTGCCTAACAATTATTTCTGCTTACATAACGTAAGTCTATTTTTAAATTGATTCACCATGCAAAGCTCATGTTTTAGGATATTTATTTTAAACGTTAATAAAATTAGATTGCAAATAGTATAGTTAATACGCAATGGAATTAATCCCATTTTTTATATTCACATCCATCGGGGGGTTTCACTTCAACCTTTTTTTGTCCAACTTCTTTCCAATTAGTGCTTAATACAGTGCCACCAGACTCCATGAAAGATTTATCCATAGCACGTCTAACTTCAGGATTGCCGTCCGCATAAATTTTTTGAAAAAGGCTATTAAGTGCTTCGTCACTGACTGCTTCTTGTTGGTCTTTTGCAACAAATTCGTTAACAAATTTATCCCAATTTTGTTTATTTTTTTGAGTATTAGGAGCCGCGGCAGCTTCCGCACTTTTTTTTTCTAAGGAACTCCAACGTTCTCCCGTTTCTTTTGCAAGACTGATTTCTACTTTGGATGGTGTTGCTTTATGACTTGATTTTTCCGGTACAATAGGGTGACATAATTCTAACTTTAGTTCATAATTTTCGGCAGTCATCAATATATTGTCTCTTTCTATTACTACATTATAATTTTTTTCTACAGCATTTTTTAGCATTACTGTAAAAAAAATGAAAAGCTTATTTATATTCTTTTTGTTAAGAATTGAAACATTCTTACCAGTAACGACCACTTTTGTTTCTGATTGATACCAATCGTGGCGGACCGACATTGCTTCCAGAATTTTCACTATTTAAGACTATATAAAACATAAATAAGATCCCAAATAAAATAAAAGATTTTTCTTTTATTATGTTAGAGATTGAACAATTGCGAAACACATTAGTAATTTTGAAGTATACTGAGATTGCGACATCGATACTACCAAATATCGAATTTTTTTCCAATTGTCACATTTTAGTATAACTTGGAATATCAATCTAAGCCAAACAAAAATAGTAACCACGTCAAAAATAAAATATGTATTTAGAAATCAATTTGAAATTTTCATATTCTATTTTCAATTATTGCAAAGGCTTAATAATAATGAAATAAAATTTCATTCATGAAAAAATAAAGTAAATACTCATAATTAACATATCACATTCTTGTTTACTTACTTATTTTTTGGAAGTTAAAATTTCGAAAATTAGAAAAGGATAAATATTCATTTTTATTTAGTTTTCAAACAAAAAAAAATAACACTTCGAAAAGAAATTAAAATATAATTCGGTTTCGCGAAGGTTGAATAGGTTATTTATTTATTATTGAATAGGTTTTTAATTTTACAAAATGGCAACCACACATCTACAATCGAAATCTACAATCTACAATCGAAAATTACCTTTTAATTTTGTTTCTCCATAATTTTTAACGAAAAGTGTAAATATTCAAAAAATAAATAAATTTATTTCTGCCTATTTGTCGAGATGAACTTCATAGTTCTACCATATAAACAATAAACGCAAAACTAAATGGACGCAACATGTCATCGCAAGAAAGGAAAAAATAGTTACATACAGACATACCACGAATTAGTCATGGGCAGCATCGTTCATTTTAGTGATTCGTTCTGAGCGGATTACTTTTTTCACTGACCGATTATAAAATCTCGTTCAATGTTCATTTCGTTCATTTCTCTTGTGTACTTATAATTGTTTTTTGGTTATAACTTATGGCTATTCGTATTTATAGAAAATTTTAAGGAAAAGAATACATATGTAGTGGGTTTTGTTAAGTTTTGAACCACAAAATGCCTCTACTTATATAAACCAAAAAGTTTAAAACGTAGAGAAATACATATTTAAAACTTTTACTCAAAAACTGTTATAAGAAATTATAAGTAATTTTTTAAATTTGCAGAAATAATATTTTTAAACCATTTGAGTTTAAATTTATTATTCCTTATAAGCAATTTATAGAATAAAAATAATTATAATTATCTTTATTTTTAATCCTCGAAAAAAACAGAAATCTTATTCTAATTTTTTTAAACTTTTGTTTAATTTACTTTAATATTTTATTTCAATCTATTGCGTTAGAATGTTACCTTATAATAATTAATTTTTTTTTAGTTTTTTTCTTTTATTAAAATATTAAGTTAAAAAACGATCATAATTATTACCCTTTTTTAAATATTTTATGCATAAATATAAGACATATCGTAGCCTAGTTAAATGCTTCCTTTTTCTTATTTCATAGAGGTAGCTTTCAATTTGAATCAACTAGTCAAATTTTTTAATTTTCTTATTTAGGTAGATTGTTAATTTGGTCTCTTTTAGTTGTATTGCATTTGTATTAGGAATAAGCACGTGTGACGTAAATCGGCCAATTTTATTTGTATTGCATTTTATTTATGCTTGATCAGTTCTCGTTCGTTTTTAAGTGTATTGAATTAAGTATATCGTTCAATTTTACTTGTATTGTATTTATATTGGCAACTGATTCGGTCACTTTTGTGTGTATCAAACTATATCTATTAATAAGTAGTTCGACTTGTTCCATTCCGTTAGTTTTCGTTTGCATTTTGCTTCCAAATTCTTAAAATATTCCATTTTTATTTAGAAATGGTAATAAGAGTTGTGTAGGTACGAAAGAAACAAAATATTCTAAACAAACGAGCGTATCAAAAACATTAAACTGAAATAAAATTAAATTAAGTTAGGTAAAAATTTTGTTATTTTAATCTTGATAACAAAATTTTTTTTTAATATTTTATTTTTCATTTAATAAAAGTTAGGTAAAAACATTCGAATGTATGAAATTAATAGTTATAAATTTAAAATTTCATACTTTAAACACAATATGATGCAGTATGTGTATGTAATATGTATGTAATATGTATGTATCCCGTTTATATGGCTGCTTCAAACTTATTATTGGCTATATAAATGTTACTTGACCTGAAGCCGGCTTCACTCAAGTCGCTTACTTGACTTAAAATGTTAATAATGATTTGAAATTTAATAGCTAAACGTCGTTTTTGGGCTTTTAAACTAACATAGTAAAAACGCAGCTTGAGTTTCGAGCTGATTTCACGTCAAGCCGGTAGACGAGGCATAAAAATTAAGCAATTTATAAAAAAAAATCCTATTGCAGATACGCGTGTGTGTACAAAACAAACAACATTTTTATGTGTATGTACATTTTTAAAACAAAATTGAAATAAAAATAAAAAATTTATAGTTTATATTACAATGAATGTAATGACAATTACTAATTACAAATTTTAAGTTTTTTGTTAATATTATTTTTCTTTTCCAAATTATATACACATAATATGTAAATTATATTTTTTTTATTTTAATAGTCAAACATTGTTTTTAAATCGCTTCGCTTTTATAATATGGATACACCATTTCTGCCACCTTGTACTCGAATAAGTTGCAGAAATAAAACTCCCGCTTTTAAAATTCTTAATAATATTTCCTATACCTTGTATACGAAAAAATAAATAGCTCCCGCTTTTAAAAATACATTATAAAAAAACAGGTAGACCTCTATTGCGTACTCTTTTCCTCTTCCAAAAATTCTTACGTATATAAAAATGAAAATAAGAAGGTATACTGCTTAACTCTTTTACCTAAGGGAATTATTTGTGTACAAATATTGGTGAGTGATTGCATTAGTGTGATGTAAACGGAGAGTCGAACTACTTATTAATAGATATAGTTTGATATTAATGTAAAAAGAAATAATGAAAAATATAAAATGTACAACAATTATCAATGTATATGCAGTAATTTTTTTTGATAACAAAAAAAGAAAATTGGAATTTTTAGTGAATGATGAACGATTCATTTTTAAAGAAGTGAACTAATCAGCTTAGTTCAGTGAAGTGATGCGTTATTTAAGATTAGTTAATTCACGAATGACACATGACTACCAAGAATGCTACATTTGCAAGGCTTTGCTCACATTTCAAATTTTTAACTTACTTAATGAAAAACTTACGCTTGATTATAAAGTTATTAAAAATAACAATTTTTTTGCCTTTTTATTTATGTACGCGTTTTTACTAATGTTTTATAAAACTGAATTTTGAAGTGTATTTTTTAATTAGATTATTCGTAAAGTCATTTGGTATCTCGATGTCTTTCGTCTTTAATTAGAATATTGCGCTAACTTTCAACATTGTCGATGTCGAATGTTAGGATTCAGAAAATACTTAAGTTTCGCTATTAAAAAGCACTAAATTTTAAGTAAAATTCAATAAGTGAAAAACTGTCAAAAGCACGTTCTTATTTTAATATGTACACCGCAGAGGTATATTTTTAAAGTAAAGGTTTTGGCAGCCTTGTACTTGATAATTTTTGTGCTAACAACCTTGTATACGCTTGCTTTTTGAAAATTTTGTAATCCTATAAAACTTTACATTTTTCCTGGTGAATCACATCGCTGGTTTCTTGTGTTACAATGAACACCTAAATTCGGATTGGAAAATGCGGAATTTGGTATGCCGCAATACTATCATTTCGATTATCAAAATATATAACGTATATATATATATGAAATAATGTTTTACATAATATACATATAGGTAGTTCAAAGATAGTAAATATTTAATTACGATCTTGCTAAAACCTTATAAATTTCAGAAAATTCGGTTTAATGGGGCGAAATATGATAAAATGATTAACTCGTGTTGAGGCATTTTAGGCTCTGTAAAAATTGTTTGACTCTAAAGAGAAAAAGTCCGTACACTGTTTTTTTTTTGTTGTCAATGTATTATCTATTAATGAGTATGACATTTGAAAGCGAAATGCGCACTTCTTGTTTACAAAATAACACTACATTTTTGTTCAAAACAAAACATATAAAAATAAAAAATAACTTGAACGAAAAAAAACATTTTAAAAATTGTGCTAAAAGAGCAATTATTATGTTGTGAAATCAATAAATTCCTTATAGGTTTTTATCATAGTTGAATAGCTCACTTTTTTTATAATTCAAATAAAGAAAATTACGTAAAACTCACAATGATATAAATAAAGAAATTTCAAGCTTGATATTGGAAATGTTTATTTCGATGCTATTTATATTGATTTAATATGTGTTCAATAATGAAAGGTATAGAAGCTAAGGTCGTTATTTTGGGGTCAGGAGGTAATTTTTAAGTATTGTAAAAATTTTAAAAATTTATTGTTCTTGACTTTTGAATTTATAAACGTAAGTATGTATGTATGTATATGTTTAAGTAGGCTATTTATGGCTGTAAATTCAAAAGAATAATATATAATATACATATGTATATATGTTATTAATATAAATGAATAATACATACATATGTATATAACATAAACTAAAAGTAAAATCAATATTTTTGGAATTTCAAGTGCATGTGGTTTAATCCAATTAAAAATACATATATTTCTACATCCCCGTATGCTTATTTTCAGTACTCCTGCCATAATATGTACATATTATTCAATTTCTTTTGTTACCTACATTAAATGTGTTTAGATATAAAATAATATGATATCTATTTTGTATTACTTTATAATTCTTTTAGGAGTTGGGAAAACTAGTTTAATCACTCGCTATGCTAAATCGACTAAACCAAATGACACATCCCCCTCGCCAACAATTGGAGCATCATTTTTTAATTGTAAGATCTTTTTAGAGGATGTTAAAATTACATTACAAGTAAGTACATATGTGTTAAAGTTTGTCTTCTACATTGCATTGCATTTTTCAATATTTTGCGATATTAGATCAATATCAGTTGCGGTACGTTATGTTGAAGCACAATCTTAGCCTAAGCGAATGCTTTCCCAACGACCAGTGTCGCGTGTAGACTGCTATCAGTAAGACAGTGTCCTTGTGACCGGTGCACAATAAATAACGCCTATATGTATTCGATTTCACTGTTGATGGGAACAAAAATAAGTTCCACCACAGAAATATCCATTGCTGAGCCACACCTAGCTAGCTCATCAGCCCGTTAATATCCCGCTTAGCCCAGGACCCAAAATAATATGATGCTATGGTGCGAGCCCCACCCCGTCAGCTCACGGTAACATTATCCTACTAGCTTTGTCGATACCTGGCCTGCCAGCTGTCGGTCACTATTGCGACATTATTAGCTACAACAGATCTTGATATAGACCCCTCAAGATCTCGCATTGTTTTAATATGGCGAAAACTTCCGCCCCAAAGACACTCAACTCGCCAGGAAACCGATACGATTCATACACCCCGTGGCCTCCAGAGTAGGCCAGGAAGTACAGCTTGAATGGACTGTTCCACCAGCTTAACGTATTGTACAGCTAAACGTATTGAATGGACTGTTCCACCTCCCAAACGACCCAATGTAGTACAGTTTCGGTGAACCTGCCCATTCGATACGCGTTCTGTGATTCTGAGAGCTGAGCAGACTCCATTCTGTCCCGCAGCCTCAGCTTTAAGACAAGTTTCAAAGCTTTTAAAACAAAGGAGGTTAGACTCATCAGTCTAAAATTCTTTGGATTTTTATGGCTCCTCCTTCTTGGTTTTATTATGAGTATCACATTTACACGTCTCCATGACTTGGGTATGTGGCAGGGTGAGGGGCAGCACGTAATAACTTTTTAGACACCACGGAACTATGAATTCCCCAGTGTTTTGCAGCATTGTCGGAAATATGCCATCTATTCCAGCTTAGGGATAACTTGTTTACAGAGACAATCTCCCTATCAAAGACAAAGTGGTTAGGTAGTTTAACAAAACATCGCATATGAAGCTAAAAGTTCGTTTATTGCTTGGTATTTCGTCACCCCAGAGTTATTTTGTCGCATATCCATAAATTTGGGTTTTGGGAAATCGCAATTGAAGTTTAGGATAAAATTTCTCAAAATTCGTCGAAAATTTTTAAATTTTTATGATTTTTTAGGATAGCTAGCAATATAAAGAATTACGAACTCAACTGCCTTGGCACGTGTATTGATATGGAAAAGTTATGTAAAAAAATGCACAAACAGTGCATTTTTTTACATAACTTTTCCATATCAATACACGTACGACAAAAGAATATTGCCATACGACATTATAATTCTGAAAATTAAAGGAAACATATGACGTTTAGATTATTAATCATTTTATGTTTTTAGATTAATAAAATAGTTTTTTTTAAATAGCTTTCATTTTACAAAATAAAGTTTTATAGTTTGTTACATATTCTTTATAATATGATAGGTATTCAATTCTATATTAAAATAAAAATTAACATCTTTTATTTATATGAGTACTATAGAAAATATTTTTCTTTTCATCGTCCAACTGCCAAAAGGCTTGGAATATTTGGTTACTGTAGTCATTATCAAAAGTGTAAAGATAGAAACATGTAAATTGGCAAGGAGGTTTTAATTTTTTTTCTTGAACATTTATATATAAATGTTTTTATGACAAACCAAAATTTGATTGATACTACAATATAACTTAAAAGTTTTAATATTTACCGGCGTTTACGACAAAACCGATATCTTAAAAACTAAAATAGTTAGACAAGTGTGGAATACACCAACTGAAAGAGCTTGAAAAATTTAGCCATGCCCAATTCGTAACTCATTTTTTTTTGAAATTTGGATTGTACGACAGTATAACTCCGGGGTGACGATTTTTAATAAGCACTTAAATCTTGGCAGATCAGATTTATTTGAATGATTTTTAAAATTACTTTTTTACCTACTATCTATTATTTGCTAATAATATTATTTCCCGGATTCTGTTAGTTGCATTTTTTCACGTGATGTTCTTGAAGAAGCTTCTAAAACATTAGTTTTAATATTTTAGTTCATAATTTTTTTTACAATTAATTTCAATTCTGTTTTATTTTAACAAGTTAAATTTATTCATCCATTTACATCACGACAAGCTGCGATAAAATTTATATGACTGATTTCTTTTCAAATTTATTGATTTAAAAAAAAAATTTTCTTTTGTAGATAAAAAAAAATTTAAATATTTCGTAGATATAAATTATAATTCTATTAGTGTTTGAATAAGTTTGATTAAAATAGTTTGAATAAAATTAAAAGTGATCTACATAATGTACCATATGGGGTGATACAGGGTAGTTCACTAGGACCAACTCTGTTTTCCTGCTATATGAGTGGTTTTGGAGGTATAAAATTAAGGGGAAATCCCTTCATGTATGCCGATGACCTGGCAATTATATACAGTCACGAATCGTTAAATCAAGTAGAAAACGCGATACAAGAAGATCTAGTTATAATAAATGACTAGATGGAGAAACATAAACTTACAGTTAACGCTAAAAAAACGAAGTATATGATAATAAAAAAAAAACCAAATCAAACTATAAATATCAAATACAATAATGTGAATCTAGAAATGGTTGAAGCCTATAATTATCCGGGCTTTATAATTGACAGCAGTCTCACGTGGAACATGCAAATACAAGAGCAGATCAAGAAGGCCAGAAGAATAGCTGGAATTTTTTCGCTAATTAATAATAGAGTTCCTGTAAAAATGAAAAGATCGCTTTATTATAGTATGTTTCACAGTCCCATTACCTACTCCATTCACATATGGGGAAACACATTTGACAAAAATTTAAACGCAATTCAAAAACTACAAAATAAGGCAATAAAAAATCTTTTCGGCTACAAACATAGAACTTCTACAAAATATATTCACAAAGAACACAAAATTTTGCCGCTGCGTCTTTACATTAAATACAACTTGGTAACACAAATACACATGATACTAAATAACAACATAAATACATGTATTTCACCACCCGTCAATAAAAACTATCATAACTACAATACAAGAACGGCTGAAAACTTAAGAATATTATCATCAAATATTAGATTTAATAGACAAGATACTATATACAACATAGCGTATAGAAACTATAATGAATTAGAAAATGAATTTAAAATTAATGAATTAGATAAATTTAAGGCAGTAGTCAGGGTCTTTTATTTAAACCAAATTTAAAATACATACTTGTTTTCGCATTAAAATCAAATTAGCTTTAATTTTTTTTCTTATATCATTTTTGTTATATTAGTTTTTTACTTTTTCTTTTCTTTTATTGGATGAATATGTTAAGAAATTAGATTGATTATTATTTTGCATTGGAATAATTTATATATTTTTAGGTTAATTATTTACAAATTTTGTTATTGTATATTATATAATACCTATGAATTTTATACACTCTATACGAGCGATTGGGCTCTCATGAGATAAAGAATAAATAAATAAAAAAAAAGAAAAAAAAAGTAATACACATACATACTTATTTATTTTTTATATATGAGGTGTATAAGCTTTAAACATTTAATAAATTGATATCTATTCAGTAATCAGTTATTGTTTATAATACATGATTATTTTATTTTTCTTTGTTAGGTGTGGGATACTGCTGGACAGGAACGTTTTAAGGCTGTTGCTCCAATGTATTATCGCAATGCTAATGCAGCTTTATTATGCTTTGATCTTACGCAATATAGTACATTCAAGGATATTAAAATATGGGTTCAAGAGCTCCATCGAAATGTACAAGATCCCATGATTTTGATTTTAGTTGGTAATAAACTAGATTTGGAAAATAGCAGGACTGTATCTCGCGATGAAGCATTTTTATACGCATCATCAATAGGAGCTAATTATTTTGAAACTTCTGCTCAACAAGATCAAGGTTTAAATCAAGTATTCTTATCGGTAGCACTAGGTTTAGTACATTTAGCCAAAGAAGGGAAATCTCATACCTTAAAACAATTTGACTCCAGTGATTCAATAACAGCCTATATGTTAGCATCTCCTTCCGATATGACTCTTAATTTACCGTCGGTTCAAGTTGGAATACCAGTTGAAAATAACGTAAAAGCCAATGGTGTTGGTCGTTTAGAAAGAGTTTCGTGGAGTATTGATCATATTGCACATGCAGATGTAGAAAAATCTGGATGGTGCTGCTAACATATGTATATTGTTGTTATGTATATATGCATACCTATATTTATATAATACATTTCACTATTTTTATGCTAAAAAAATTTAAAGTTTGTATAAATTAGCAAGTTACATACGTTTGTTTATGTAAGTTATCGAATTTCGCCGTACGGAAATGTTTGACTTTTGATAATGACGTATCGGATTTTCATTTCAATGTGCTTTATACTTTTAAGTTATGTAGAAAAGACAAGTCACATTAGTTTTAAGTAATTTATCAACATTAGTTATTCAATACAGTAACAAAATTAAAAATGGTCTTTATAAGCTTCTTGAAAAAAGCAATTTGAGTCTATTAGGACAAATTACTATAAAGTAATTAAAAATACTTTTTTAAAGCAGTTTATTATAAATTTTTGTAATTTAAAAAAAATTTTTTATAATCATCCCGCATTTGTAAAAAATTGTAAATAAATGTATAATATATACTAAATTAAATATTCTACCAAGTTTCTTGAAAACTTTAATGTTTGAATAGATTTCTTTACTTGGGAATTGTAAAAAATTTTCGTTCCTCTCTTATGAAAGATGAATTCCGTTCGTAGCTCTGTAATTCGGGAAATTACGAATGTCAATTCCGAATTACTAATATTCTGCTCCAAATATGTATTCGTAATAGAGTAATCAAAACGTAGTAAAAATAAATGTCAAAAGTCTACGAAAGTAATAATCGCACGTGAGAAGCAATTCAAAGAGAATGGTCTTTTAATATTTTTTAGTTTTTTAATTCTCTAACAGAGAGTTACACTGTGAATGTCTGATACAGCTACCATAAAGGGAAATGAACTTATATGTACCAAAAAAATTTATTTCCCACTTTTCAAAAATATTTAAAAACGAAAAATAATACAAAACTTCGCTTTCAAAAAATATAATTTTGAAAATATAAATATAGAATAAACATTTGTTAGTTGAATAGGGTTATTATGGTACAGGAAGCGAATGACTTAATCATATTAATCCTCACGAACAGCTGAATTCGTTAGGAAAAAATCGTTCCTATCAAGATTTAAAAAAGGATGTCATTTGAAGTTTTTATAAAAATAAACGAAGTGAATTAAGTGCATAGTTTATAAAAATAAAAACATTTTTCAAAAATTTTATGTTTATTTGATACCATAACATTTTTATTTTATGAAATAAATCAAAATATGATTTCATCGAGTGCCGATTTATTCTATTGTGATGAGTACATCAGTAATAGTAGTGAAGGCGAGGAAAATGGAAATATTGGAAGCATACGAAGATGTACAACGGATCAATAAAATCCTTTTGAGTTACCAAGAACTGAGTTGACATAATTGATTTTTTATTGAAGGCTCCAAAGGGTTTAACTTGACAGCAAAATTCGTCCACATTTCCTTTAATAAATACACTTTTATTGAGTCTGCACTTACTCCACCATGAGCTACATTCGGATTGTTTTCCACTAGTTCTACTAATTTTCCGTATTGCTCCGTATTAAAAAAATTTAGGAATTAGTACATTATGTACATACATATGTTTGTATGTATATAAAAACGCTACTTTTGTTCGTTCGCCATAAAAAAACAAATTTTTTTATTACATGCAATAGATGCTACATGATATTTATTTAGAAGTTTTTTTTTAATTTCATTTACTTTGTTATAGATTTTTAAAAATTAAAATTTATTTTGCTACTAATTTTTTACGTTTTTTTCACAATTACCTTTATTATAAAGTTTAACATAATATAAACTATCAACTGAAAATCACAACAAAATTTTGAAAATTACGTGTAGTCATATACAATTTTTATTCACATAACAACCCCATAAAGTATTGATTTTGGCACTCCGAAAAATGGTGCTGCCATTGTTGATTCATCATAATCTCTACAAGTGGTTTTGTAATCATTTAAAAATCAAAGCGGCAGCTAAGTTTAATTCACAGTGGAGTTTATAATAGAGCTGTTTATTTTTGAAAACGTCAGAATCAAATAATAATTTATTTTGCTTTACACATGCAGTATTCTGTTTTGTAAAAAAAAAACACGGTATTTGACTGTGTATCACGTTCCATGTTGTGGAAGGTGGCTGAGGTTATCCTAGTTCCAAAGCCAGGTAAGCCAATACATGATGTAACGTCATACCGTCCGATATCTCTACTTCCAATGATGTCGAAATTGTACGAGAGATTACTATTGGCTACATTGAAACCAGTGATAGTGGAGAGGGGGCTCATCCCTGATCATCAATTTGGATTCAGAAACAAGCACTGTACAATTGATCAGGTTCACAGGATAACCAATACCATAGAAGAGGCTTTTGAAACTAAGAAAATATGCTCCACTATATTCCTGGATGTTGCTTAGGCGTTCGATAAGGTGTGGCGCGAGGGCTTCATTTACAAAATAAAACTGAATCTTCCTGAACCTTTTGGAAATATCCTGACGTCATATCTTGAGAACAGATACTTTAGAGTTAAGTTGGAAGCAAATACTCTTGTCTGAGGAATATAAGTGCTGGTGTCCCGCAGGGCAGTGCGTTGGGCCCGGTTCTGTATCTCTTATACACTAATGACATTCCCAACTTGCATGAAACTAAGCTAGCAACTTTTGCCGACGACACGGCTATACTTGCTGTGGAAGATACAATTCAGGAGTGTACATCTAAGCTGCAGAGAACAATAGATTTAGTAGATGTGTGGACCAAGAAATGGAGAATAAAACTAAACGAAGGAAAATCAGTTCATGTTGATTTTACAAATAAAATTATAAATCCGGAAAATATATATTTGAATAACGCGCCAATTCCCCATGCGAATGAGGCTAAATATCTCGGAATGACGCTTGACACCAAATTAAGATGGAAACCTCACGTAAGAAAGAAAAAAGAAGAAATCGATATAAAAATGAGAAAACTGAACTGGCTGATGAATAGAAATTCAACTCTAAATCTCCAGAACAAGCTGTTAGTATATAACCAAGTAATTAAACCAATCTGGCAGTATGGCATCCAACTGTGGGGTTGCGCAAGCAAAAGTACTACAGACATAACCCAAAGATCGCAAAATAAAATCCTGAGACAGATAAGCACCTTGGTACGTGCGTAACAATACCTTGCATAGAGATCTAAACGTCCCAACTGTGGAAGATGAAACAATAAGGGTGGCAAAGAACCACAAATCTAGGTTGAGTCAACATGAAAATAATGAGATGGTAGATATCTTAAATAATCACGAAAATATCCTCAGAAGGCTAAACCGCAGGAAGCCGCTTGATCTTGCCGCTTGATCTTAAGTGTAACGGAGGTATTCGAGGGAATCATCACAGGATGTTGGCCCAACAAACGTGATTTTTAGAACTGGCGAAGAAAGGATTGCTAGATAGACCGAATGGTTCTAGTTGCAATAATAATTGATTTAAAAAAAAAAAATGTTGCACCTTAAAAAAAATTTGTAATGTTATCCGTTCCGTATTGTTTAAAATTTGGCATTTGGTGGTGTAGAAAATTGGGTCGCAATTTCATGGTTTGGCTTTGGCTGTATACAAATTACGATTTGCTGTCGTTTACTTAAGCATTTGAAACTTATAGGAATTTCAAAAGGTTACCCGTCACTTTCCATAAAAATACCATTTACCACATTTGGTTAATTGTGGCAAAAGACCATTAACTTAAAACCAATCGCATTTTTGTGGGAGTAACCGTGAATGGCAAACACTGGTATGCATTGATAGTAATTATAAAGAATATAAAAGTGTATCCTTATATGTTCGGGCTTATTATGATTTTTAGGCACCTAAAGTTAAATGGATAGAAATACAAATTACATCAGATAAACGCAATTCCACAAATATCATTAAGCATCTGATGTTTGGATGCCTCGGCTGACAGAAGCACAAACCTGGATCCTAAGAGAGAGTTACATATCACAGCTAAAGAATTTACACATACTCTTATGGAAGTTATTAAAGGCTATTTTAATCTCCCACAAAATCATTTTTAAAACTTTTAGTTAAAAAAAAACTAAAATTCAATCTTTTTCCATTTTACAAGCTCTAACACTTATATAGTTTTGTGATATAACAACATTAAAACTTTTGTCTTGAAAAACCTTCCAAGCTCGGCTCATTTTTTAAGATTTAAGAACAAAAAAAAAATAATCGTTCAAATTTATTTTTTGTCGAAATATTGGGTTGATTTTTGCGCATTTTATATCTTCTTATATACCCCTCTATTATGAACATCGGTATCGGCCGATATATTATCGGCAGTTCTTTAGGTTTCTATTAGGTTTCTTCTTCTGTATTATGAACCGATACCGATAAAAATATTTCAACCGATTAAAAGAAGCTTTTTCATACAAATTTTTGTTTTTGTAAATTGGAGAAAAAGTTTTTTTTTTCTAATGACATTTGTTTTCTTTCAAAAGTTATTTTCAAAAAATTTTTAAAATTATTTTGAATTTGGTTTTGATGTGCTAAAAAGTTGTAAGCAAATTTTTTTTGTGTTAAATTTGTAAAATAAAAATATACATATATCGGGAAAATGTCGGGTGCATTATATTTTGAAAGTGAAGAAACGGTAGTAAGTGAAGAAACGCAAGCTATTCAAAGACGACATATAAGAGATTCAACTAATCCATTGGATTTAGACAACAAAATGTATGTTTATGTACCTATTTTATTTTATTATTTATATAATATGTACACATTTTTTAGGTTTATCCAGAATTTCAGATTATCATTCCTTGCCAGGTTTAAGTCCTCTTCCATTTTTTCTACTAACCGCGCAATTTGTCTTTTGTTGTTTACGATTTTACTCCTAAATAAAATATATAAATAACATTTTGAAAGAAAATAATTTAAAAGTAATTAATTACACCAGTTTCCTTGATAAAATGAAGATTTTACAAAAAAAAAATCTGTCGTCTAAAAATTTGTACCCGCTTTTAAATCGGTGAAAACCCGACAATTTATCGTTTTCATAATACCAGCTAATACGTTTCCTATACAGGGAAAAAAAGCTTTCCCGACTCCGATAAAATTTACCGATAAACAATGTTGGTAATACAAATGCAAAATTTTGCCGATAAATTATCGTTTATCGGCCGATACCGATATACATAATAGAGGGGATAATCACATATATATGTACATATGTCTTCACTTTTCATGGGTATACAGTTGGCCTATTATGTAGTGCTATTTTCACTAAACGATTCTCGCATTTTCAATTTTAACACTATGTAAATCGAATATCGCAAATATGCGAAAGTAGCAAAAGTGGTACTACAGAATGTTACTTTCGCATACTTTTCATTCACTTGCCATTTTGGATACGACTCTTCTTCTTCTTCTTCTTTATTTAGGAAATTTTCCTGTTATTTTTACAAAAACTTCTTTTATAAAACATAGTATACATATTATATAAATTTACATTCTTCTACTATAATAAATGACCCCTAAAAGGCATTTATATGTCATTCATATCCTTGTATAAGTATTTTTATAATAGAACACAAGAAGTCTTCAATGAAGATCGGAGGATCCGGATGTCCAGCATTCTCGCCATCTTTTTTGGGGCCTACCAGGTAGTCTGCGGCTATTTGGCCTCCCTATCATGACTGCTTTGGCAATTCTTTCTTCGGGCATTCTCTGAACATGTTGTTTCCATTCTTTAGGCCTTCTTCTGCTCCACTTGTTAATATCATATCAAGCTTAGTAAACCCTGCTATTGTTCTTAAAGTTTGCATTTCAACGGTTTGCATTTTACTCTGCGTTTCTTTGGTATCAGCTCTTGTTTCGACACCGTATGTTAAAACTGGTCTTACACATGTTTTGTAAATCCTGATTTTGCTGCTGATTCTCATGTAAGAGTTTTTCCAGATAACATCCCTCAAATATCCAGATATTGAGGCAGCTTTTATGGACTGTGTTTTAACTTCTTTGCTCAGGTCTCTGGAAGATGTTATTAAGTTACCGAGATACTTAAACTCCATCACTTGTTCTATGGGTTGGTTATATACAGCTAGTTTAACTCTGAGTGGATGCTTTGATATAGTCATTGATTTTGTTTTGCTTGTTGATATTAGCATGTTGAAACTTGTGCAAGCCTTTTGTGGATACGACTCTTATTGCGAAAATCTAAGTTTCTGAAAAAATAAAACTAAACAATGTAAGTGTTATATTTATTTTGCTTTGTTAAATTAAAAAAAGCCTTGCATTTCAAATTTACTGCAATTAACTAAATTTTTGTAATTAATAATTATAATTATAGGTCAAAATAAAATGCAAAACCATTCCGGTTTAAGAAAGTACCAAAATAGCACTAAATTTGTGATAACTAACCAAATATTTTTCGTGTGGACTGAACTTTTCATCTACAGGCTTACAAACTTCAGTTATAAAAAGTAAAATGGTTTGCTGAGCAAGAACAATACTTAATCTTAACCTGCATATCCAGATTTGTTGGAAAAATTAATAACAATCGTCTCCTTCATATTATACATACATTTAAATGTATGACTTTTTTAAAATAATTCAAATGTTTACTTTGAAAAAACTGCCAGAAATGTCAAAAACAAAAAATTTTAGAAAATGCTGCCAGTTTAAATATTTTACGATGCGATTTTGTTACATAATACCAAACCACTTTCGAATCGTAAATCAATTTACGCAAATTTGCAACTTGCGTATTGTTACATAGCAGACCACCAGGTTTCCCTCGCTTTACGTAACTTTTTATGTATAACGTTTAACGTTATATAGTAAACTTTTTGCTAGCTTAACTTTTTTTTTTCGATTTCTCTTATAATTCAAAATGCCATTACTTACACAAGTACTATCTCTCAGACAGCATTTATACATCAAGAAAAGTTTGATGATTTTAATTAGTTGGATAGAAATTTGTATACACATCAAATCAATACTAGCAAAATTGTATGAGAAAAAAAGGACCCTGAACAAATCTTCTTGAAATAGATAAAAAAATTGAGAAAGCTCGATTATCTACTTAATCAAAATTATAGTTAAAATTTCGAGTTGAAATTTGGATTTTTAATATGTTGCTTAAAAAACTCCAAATTTCATTTTAATATAAAAATTTTTAGGTTTTAAGAAAGACCCATATATGTATCAGAAATCCATTTTGCAAAAATCCACTCGCAATTTAAACATACTCATTCACAAATTCACAAAAGAAGAGTCGAGGCCAAAGAATTGGAAATATCAAAGAAAGAATCTCCTCTGTTTCTATCTCGCTTGAAGTCCCTAAAAATTGTATTAAACAAAACATAGCGAAGCCAAAAACTTCAGGTAAGTCTCTTTCTTTGTTCCAAGCATTGTCAAATTGAAATCGACATTAAATGCCAAATATCTTTTTTTGGAAAACTACAACGTGCTGGTAGAAATAGTAAACAAAAACAGTTTTGCGATTTTAGTTGTTTAATTACCGTGATTCCGATAATGTAGTATCTTAAAAAAAAAAAATAAAAAAATCGTTGAAAGTTTATTATTGTTTTAAAGAAAATTACACGTAAAAAAAAATTTGAAAAATGCAAAAAAGAAAAGAATTTGTTGGAAAAAGAAAGAAGCACATATTCCAAATTTTTGTTCCATTTGAGAGAACAAATAGAAGTTTTCTTCGTTATGGATGTGATCATTATTCATTCTAATAATTGTAAGTGTTAACTTTAATTCATAATTCGTAAATTTATTAAGACTTTAATTTTGCCAAGAGAACATTTTTTTTCGTTGTGCTTTAAAATAAAGTTACTTAGTTGGCATAATTACACTAGAAGTAATTATGCCAACTTTTTCCTAAGTGAAATTTGATTGTGTTTAATAGAGCGTACTTAATTCGAAATACTTAATACGTACTTAATAGAACGCATTTTGATTCGAATTTTAAAAAGATATTATGCGGTAAAATTTATTTAATTTTGATGTAATAAATATATGTATATATATTTGTTTCAAATGTTTTGTTCGTATTTTACTTTATAAAGTGAAGATTTAGCAATCAAAGAAATTTATGAGTCGATGTTGTTGAATGTAGTAAGTACAATAAATATTAGTGAGAGATAAAATATATTAGGCATTTTCAAAAATACATATTTAAGCCGAAAGGTATAAATATGTGTTTCATACCAGCCCTATTTCAAATGTTTGTTCATTTTACAAAATATATCCAGCAATAGGTGGCGCTATTAGTCTTTTGGTTGCTAAGCAATTTGCTGGTATATTTTTTATTTCTTAAAGTTTTATTTGTAACGTCAATCAAATAAACAAGAAAATTTTTTATACATTATTCTCAAGTACAACATTGCTTTTTATAAGTTCATGAAAATTAACAAGTATAAAATAAATTAAAAATAAAAAAAATAATAGCAAAAATGCAAAGCGGACTTGAAAGAAAACCTAGAAAACTTAATTTTAAATTAAGAAATGATAAAAATGGGTAAGTACAGGCCTACATATGTATATACTACATGCCATATGTATTACATTGTATAAATATTTACATTTTATATACTTATAAAATAGCTTTATATTATTATATAAATTGCCATAGTATTCAAATTTATAGTTCTCATTTATTATAGGGTATAATAGAGGAAAATTTTTCTGCTAGTATTTAGTCATTAAAAATCCTTTAAACAATTACAAATTTGAAAATGATGTTTTTTACTTGCAAACTTTTAATATGAACATAAGCTTAATAAAACATAAGCTTTTTTTTAAATACATTTCAGATTAATTTTAAAATATCATAACACCAGAAACATAGATGGAAAACTCGTTAGGATACGTTTTGTAAATGGATGTTTTAATTATAATAGTACCAAATTTGTTGCCATCGATCATCGGTAAGGTAGTTTATATATGTATTATATTTTCAAAGAAACGTTATTAAAGAATTTTGTTTACATTTTCACAGTGGTAACGTTTTTGTTTTTGATTTTATATACAAAAAAATTTGGAAAACTTTTGATAAATGTCCGAGAAATACTGCTATTCAATGCAATACTTATTCCTTGAACGAATTTTTTGTTGGTACAAAATATGGGGAGATTTTCATAATCGATATTGGTAAATAATTGCACTAAGAAGTTACACAAACATTTGTAATAAGAATTTACTTATTTCAATTTCGTATTTAAGAAAAAGGCAGCGTGAGAAGATTGGGAAAATATTGCTTACTACCTATACAAATCATTTCTATTCCGGTATTGTCAGCATTTCAAACAAATATTTTAGTTGCAAGCAGAACAGAAGCAATTCTTATAGATATAAAAACGTTTCAAGCAAACTATAGTCTCGAATTCAATAATGCAAATGATATTATAAATGCTCACAACAAACATACTCAACTAAAATTTATATCATTTTTGCCAAATTGTGAGAAAATTATTGCTTGTTTTTCCAATGATTCCGTACATATTTGGTCAGCAGCATGCTTAAGTAATTATAAGAAAAAATGTTTTTAACGAAATTTATAACAATAGAATGTTTTTAGATGGAGAAAATAAGAATGCTAATTACGGTAGCTGTCAACTAGGTGGTAAATCAGAAGGAGAACTCAATTCTGGTGAAGACATGGTGCAATCAAAACTTACATTAAAAATCTTCCGAATTCTCTATCCATTGAAGATTCGTGACAGACAATTAAGATTGACTAAAGATAATAAATATAAAGAATTAAAAATTTCAGAAAAAATTGATTATGAACATAATTTCAACAGTAATCAAATCGGCGACACTGTTAAAATTCTAAATAAAATTACAATAGAAGACGACATAAACGACTATAGTACAGGTTTAATACATTCTTTTGACTTCTCTTTGGATGGAAAATATATGTGTCTAACCACTTTGGACAAATATATTTTATTATTCTCCACAATTACATTCGAATTGGTTAAAATAATTAAAACGAAAGATATTTCTATTCAAAAATGTTTATGTTTTGAAAAGCTGTTTTGTAAGTATTAGTACGTTTCTTCTAGTAATTTTTTATTTTAGATTTTAATTTTATATTTAAATGCACAATCAAGATGATACTGGAAAAAATTCTTCTTGTCAGATAAGTTTAATAGCAATCGCATTGACATCACAATCTGATATTATTTTGATCGATTTAAATGATTTAATAGTAAAATTTGTTATTTTCGGCGATGAATGTATATATAAAATGAACTTGTCCTATGATGGAAAATTATTATTTGTTATTCTCAAAACTGGGGAAATCAATATTTTTCAAACGTCGGCATCAATGAACACTTTAATTTCTACTCAGAAAAATATCAATGTTGTTAAAAGATTTGAGAAAAAGCACGATGTTGATGAGAATTTTATATTAACAAATGAGGTAAGATATCTTAAGTGTATCATTTGCTGTTGATACAAAAAAAGATTGTTTATACTTTCAGTTAAAAAGCACTTTATCAAGAGGACAATTGTTACCAATTTTAAAAGAATATGGTTCCTATTCTAATAAATATCGGCATTTAATATGGAACGCACTTTTGGATTTACCATCAAATAATGAACACTTTAGCGAATTACTCAGAAAAGGATTTCATTCTGCTGTATTAAAATATGATGAAGAATTTCCATTAAAAGACGTCACATTATTAAGAAACTTAAAGAGAATTTCCTCATGTTTAATGTACTGGTCAAAAATATTAGTTGAGTGTGATTATTTACCCAAATTAATATTTCCATTTTTGAAGATATTTCCTAATAATTCAATATTAGCCTTTGAACTCTTAGTAACAATTATTTATAACCATTGTCAGTTATGGTTTGAATTCGCTCCAATGGAACCTTTAAATTATTTAGGTCTTATTGAAAATGTTTTACATCATTTCGACCTTGAATTATATAAATTTTACCGCGAAAGAAATATCACAACAAAAATTTATGCATGGACCTTATTAACAACATCATTTTCTGAAATATTAGATGAGAAACAATGGTATCAACTGTGGGATAATATTTTAACGAAAGATTTAGAATATACGATATTTGTGGTGTTAGCTTATCAAATAATTCAACGTAATATTATAATGAACTTAACATCACAGGAGTCTATAGAATTGTTTTTTCATGAACAGTATATAATTGATATGCAAAAATTTTTGAAAAAAGCCAACCATTTAATGGAATTATGTCCAAATGACTTAAATCCTAGACGTTATTTAAAATCATTTGTCAGTTTGCCAAAAGGGTACTATCCAAAGTTTGAAAATTATCCAAGAGAATGGCTTGAATTAAAGAATAAAGAAACCGAAGCAATAAATTTGGAGAGCATAATTTTAGATGAAAAATTACGAAACTTGGAAATAGAAGAAATTCAATTGACAAAGAGATTGGAAGAAGGTTTAAAGGATGAAGAAATCCAATTGCGTTTAAAAGGTAAAGTCTTTATTTTAACAAAATGATGGTTTTTTAATTTTTTTATTTGTATATTACGTATAATACGGTTTAACATTCCAATTAAACCGTATAGTCTTTAAAATTAAATAGAATAATCTTGTAAATTTATTGATTCACACAAAAAATAGTTTATCTTAAATGTTATCACATGCTACATAGGAACAACAAAGCTTTAAAAAGTTTTCTTAAAACCTAGTTTCATATTTTTATTGTATTTTTGGGTGCTTTATTATTTTTTTTCTAAATTTCTACATTTCAATGAACAGTTCTCCTTTTAATTTTTTAAACATATTTTATAGAACTTGAAAAATTATATTGTGGAGCAATATCTAGGGAAGAAGAACGTATTGCATGCCAACGGAAAATGGTATTACTTTATGAAAAGGAAGCCAGAAATCGTCGCAGAAAAGTTCTTGAAATGGTTCACAATTCGCAGAATCGTAAAAATATAAATTTACACGAAAATCAATTGGATACATTGATGAGAAGTATTGAGAGAGCAGTAAGTATTCAAAGAAAATTAAATTAAAAAATTTCCTGAAGTGTTTGGAAATAGTCCAAATTTTTAATTAATTTTTTAAAATTTTAGTTTTATAAAAATTTTTTTTTAATTTAATGTTGGTTATTGCAACTTAGATCTGTTTGAGCATAACGAGCAATTATTCTTTCACTTAGGAGTTGAGCGTGGAAAAACTATTCACTGATGGTAGCCCCAATGATCTGATTACTTTTTAACATCCCTAGATTGGGTGGGTGGGCTTCCTTCTGATGTTTTATTGAGTATTTGCGAATTTCTTCTTCAACTGTGTTCATGTTTAAGTCTCTACGAATAGTACTACTTCCAACGCACCAGTGGGCCTTAACTATATTGCGTAAGACCATGTTTTGGATGGTTTGTGTAGATTGGTAATTTTTTGTTTCCCACAATCCATAACTCATAAGTCCAAATTGTTTTTTATTTATAAATCAGTAATTTGTTTTGAACCTTTATTTTCGAATATCTTCCTAGTAGCCAATTTAGATTTTTAATTGTAATGTTCAGCTGTTCTTTTCTTTATGATGTTTTGAGTCAAAGTTCATACCTAAATATTTCGCCTCATTCGCATACGGCAGGGGCCGGTTGTTGAGTACTATTGGGATATTATTGCCGGATCTGTTTGAGAAATTAATATGAATTGATTTCGCTTCATTCGCCAATATTCTCCATTTTTGCTTCTATAATTTAATTTCGTTTAGTGATTTTTTAGCTTTAGCTGTAGTTTCCTGCACTGTACCAACTACCGTGCTAGGATTACCGTGTCTTCTGCGAAAGTGGCTGTGGTAGATACTGCCACTTGCATATCTGTATATGCCTGGGTCGAACCTGCTTCTTAAGTTCGAATATTCATCTTTCTGCTTAAGTCTAAATGTTCTATTGCTTAAGTAAGATTCTAATATTACACATATCCTACTTTGTAGATCCTGTAGTTTGCAATTAAGGCCTCTGTGCCAAACCTTATCCAATGCCTGGGCAACATCGAAGAATAACCTGAGCAAATTTTTTTGTTTTATAATGCATTTCCTATGACATTTGTGATTCTACATACTTGGTCGATTGTTGAGTGACTGCTTCTAAACCCAAACTGTTGACTAGGAGTTAGCTGTTTCTTTTTAATAGTGGGCATAAGAATTTTTCCTAAAACCTTAGATTTTATAGGAAGCGGTGATATAGACCTGTAGGATTTCAAGTGGTTTATAGGTTTTCCTGGTTTTAGTGCCAGCAACACCTCAGCAACTTTCCATATTTCGGGGAAGTATTGCAGCTTTGTTATTGCGTTAAACAAATTGTGTGTTGAGAAATGAAACAGTGTATAACGTATATAGATCATACACGGTTTTATTTCTCAACAGACGAAATATAATAACATTTTTAGTGCAATGAGTACCAGTTATGATATTGAAGCCCGGAGCTTTTTTGAAATTTATTTTAGCAATTTCGGTTTTTCATTCTGTTAATGTTATTTTCCCAACAGGTATTTCATTATGGATTGCTCTTTGGAAAATATCTTTGTCGATAGTCTCCAGTGGAAGAGATTTAAATATGTTTTCCAAATAACTTGCAAAGGAAGAAGCTTTTTTTAAGTTTGTAAATGTATTATCTTCTTTTCTTAATGGAGGTATTTGAATTTTGGAGTTTTTATAATAAAAATATAAAAATATTTTGGCATCATATAGAAGTTTCTTAAGTTTGTTATTTAGTTGGTTCATTTTGGTTTTGTTTGAGGGATAACGGGACATTTGCCATCTTTTACGTGCTTTTCTTTTTTTCTTAGTTAATTTTCTTATTTCCACAGATTATAGATTAACGGTGAGTGTATGCTTTTTTTATGTTTACTACATGTTTTTTACGTGTTGTACATGTACAATGAAATTGTTAGGTTCCTCTTCCAGTTAGTTAGCACCAACCACCAGTTCGTGGTTTTATTTGAGAGATCCAACGGTGTGTTTTTTAAGATAATTGTTTTACTTACAGTCAGGACCCATTAACTATGCCTTTCGTAATGAAAAAATATCTGAGATCTGGAGTGCTAGGGGATCTGTTGGTTAATATGTAGGTTTCGTAGATGATAAAAAGTTACATTTTAATTGATTTGCAACTTTCAAATCTCCATCTATAATGGAGATTTTACTTTAAATCTTCACATTCAAATCCACATCTATAATGGAGATTTTACTTTAAATCTTCACTTTCAAATCCACATCTATAATGGAGATTTTACTTTAAATCTTGGAGAAACAAAAATTTTAAAATCTCCATATATAATGAAATGAGATTATTACCTAAGCTTTCAAGCCATGCTTTATATTTGAGATTGTGTTTAGGCGGGCCGAGATATAGCCGAGATTTTGAACCCTTTGTTATTTAGTTTGATTTTAAATGATGGGACTTGCATAATGGTTTTTTGTATTTTAGGCTCCAGGCATTGTTTAATGTTTTCTTTGATAATGATGTATGCGCTCCTTTAGCTTAATTTTTAGAATGTAGAGAGTGGTAATCTTTTAAATGTAGTCTTTAATTGATGAAATGAGCCTCAGAAATTAAAGCAATATCAATATTCAATATTTTCTTCTAAGATGTTTCTAATTCTAAAGAATGATTTAATATTTCATTTGAATTCCAATTTAAAATTCTAATTAGTATCTACAATTTTATATTTTTCCGCAGGTTGAGATTGTTTTCAATTTTGTCAATTCTATCACAGATATATTTTTAGCAATTTTTGGCTTGTAAAGTTTTTTAATAATTGTACTTAAAATTTTTTTTATACTATTTAGGTTAAAGTTACTCTTACCTATATCTCTGAAAAAATTTCCACGAGCTTGTGGATATGTAATTCCACTTATTGCACTTTTCAGAGTTTGGTCTATGAATTAATTGCACTGCGTAAGCATATCCTTTGCGACGATACGCCCACTTGTTTCGTGCTGTTGATTGCATGTTTATACAGAGAGCCGTTTGCTAAATTTTTGCACAGACGCTACTATTTAGTAAAGTACCTGGCGGCGAGTACTTCACCCGCCCACTTGTCTATCGAAGGGAGACTTTTGAAGGTGAATTTTGGCGTTGCATAGCAATGGCTAAGAAGATGTTACTACTGCCCATCCTTGTATTCGCATGCTACCCGTCCCCCTTTTTAAAAAATTAAATTTCAAGAAGCAATTATTTTAGATACGAAAATATTTTAAGGGCGAAGAAGCAAAATTTTAAGAACAAAATTGTTCTTAGTTATCACATATAACCAAAATCAATGGTGTTTTCTTTTATATGTATGTATATATTTTTTTCATGTAAGCTTAATATTATGAAGCTTTTAATGTAATTTTTGTTATATAATTTCTGTTTTTTTTTTTTTTAAATAAAATTAGTATATCAATCTACGATACTGAAAATTTGCTATAAGCTCAATTATAGCAAAAATGAAGCAGTAAATTTACATTATTTTGGCAAATATTTCTTCCTAAATGAAAAGGTTTGAAGTTTGTATAAAACCGAATATTTAAAAGTAAAAAATTTTCTACTAAGTAATTGTGTTATCTTAACTGATCTAATTTACCGATGCAATTACTTCGATTTGTTAGAATTCAACAATTACTTTGATGCATACTTTCAATTTACAGTCATACCTCATATCATCTATATTTAACGTCACAACTCGGTTATATTCACAAAATTTTAACCAGAAAAATTTTATCTTTTACACATATTTTGTAAAACTTGTTCAAAAAATTTTTCAAGTGATTGTCAAAAGTTAGTTTATTTAAAAGTTTGGCTGGTTTTTTGTGTCTCGAAATTTGAATTATTTTTCAATATACGTTTTTTTTTTTATTACTTATGATTCCCCTTCTTCTTATGATTCCTTATGTTTCTCTTTTTCTTTATATAACATAGGTTTTCAAATTTTCTCTGTTCTGTGCCAGTCTCTTCATTTCTGTCTAGCTATCTTCCAAGTATAATTTCTGTCTCTCCAAGTATCTTTTAATCTCTCGCGGTTCCATTTCAGGGTTTGAACTTGCTATTGATGCTATTCTTAGCGTTAACTTAACGTGCGCGTTGAATAGTCTCATATAATATGTTAATAGTCCGTGTTCTATGTGGTTGGCTTCCAGGTTGTCCATAATTTTCCAAAGTCGCACTTTGTCTTGGAAATCATGCCTTCTATGTCTTTACTTATTCCTACCTCTTGTGTTATTGTCGTACCCAGGCAGTGTTCCCACTCGGAAAAAACAAAATGTATCCAATTTCGAGAAAAAAATGTATCAAAAATGTATCCAACCTCGTAATATAGCATTATTATAATAAGTCGTCTTATTTTGTACAAATTAACCCATAATTAATATTAATTTGCTTTATTCCACAATATGAGTTTTGTTATTTATAGTAAATTCTTTAAGAAATCACATACAACTTCTATTATATTTTAAATGTGAAAGTTAAGGTCAGAAAAAACATTTGCATATATGCCTTCTGTAGTTGTTGAACTATGCGGTAAAGACGATTGACCATGACAACGGACAAATTTTAAAAATATATACATCCAATGCATTTTCTATTACATCTAGCTAACACTAAAATATTTTTGGTACATTCTTGTATAAATTTTCTAAATTTGTATAAAGGAAGAGGCTGTTAATAAAGTATCTTTTTTACTTTCTTGTAAAAAATTCGGAAACCTGCTTAGAATGGCCAGCAAATAACATTTTTTGAAGATAAAGCAACTTCGCGATTTAATATTAGCAGCATTTTAACTGTTTTGTAATATTTATTTAGTGTTTGAAAAAAAATGTATCCATATTTCAGCAAAATTTTAAAATGTAGCCAATTTCGGCATTTTAGCAGATTTGAGTATCTTTGTATCCAAGCTCAAATTTAAAGCAAAAATGTATCCAAATGGATACAATTGTATCCAAGTGGGAACGCTGTACCCAGGTATTCGAAATCTGATGCGTCCTCAATGGGAATAC